GAAGAATGACAAAGAAATCCAGACTGGGCACTGCCCCATGCCAACAACCGGAGAAGAGATGGGACAAGGCCCCATCCCTACTTTCTTTGTGGGGGGGGGGTGCTGCCTAAATGCCAGACTTCTTCAACACGACAGTCAGTTTAGCTGAGCCCTATCCCCCCTCCTTTTTGTTCCTTATTGTAAAGAATGGCTCTGTGGGAGGGATTGAGGGCATAGGAGGGACACACTGGGAGATGTAGGTGACGTAAAAACAAAAGTATTGACAAAAATGACTTTAAAACTCAAAATTCCTTCCATTGTCAAAGCAGTAAGATCTTTTTAAAAAAATAGCAAACAAGTATCCCTCACCCTCCACCCAACAGGGGAAAGCACTTGGGAATGTTTCATTCAGCACATCCCCCTTCACCCACTGGTATGGACTGACCTACCACCCATAAGGACCCAAACAAACCACCACAAACACAGTGCAAGTGGCCATTCTACCAACTTAGAGTTAGGGGCCTCTAGCTGAGGCACAGTCTGGCTGCATCCCAAACAATCCTGGCTGACCTCTGCCTGCTACCATGCTGTCTGGGGCCCCAACCCCCAAAGTCTGGGTGTACACAAATTGGGCTGGTTCTTGGGGGCTACCCAGCAAATCTCACTGCCTTCTCCACTCCCACCTGGCCTTCCATGAGAACCTCAAAGCTGCCTCAGTTTCATCAGGCTCTGCCCTGGGTCTACCAGAATATAGTTCATGACTGTTTGCTCAAATGAGGGTAAGTCCCTTATGATTTTGTGCATGTGTGTGTGTGTGCACATGCGTGTGTTTGTGTGTGTGTGTGTGTGCATGTGCAACATCACATATAGGACAGCCTTTACCTCAGGCAAGAGGAAGCAAGAAACCAATCAACAGAGTGCCAGGCATTGGACATCCAAAGACCAAAGCAAAATAGTCCCTGCTCTCAAGGAGCTGGGGAGGAGGGGAAGGAAAGAGGAAGAGAACAAGCATTTATTAAGCACCTACTGTGTGCCAAATACTGTGCTAAATGTTTTAGAAATGTCTCATTTGAACTCACAACAACCCTGGAAGGTAAGTGCTGTTGGTATCCCCATTTTACAGATAAGGAAACTGAGGTAGACAGCAGTTAAGTGACTGCCTAGCTATTAAGTGTTGAGGCTGGATTTTAACTCTGGTCTGCCTGGCACTAAGTCCAGTGTTCTATCCACTGGGCTACCTGGCTACCTCTAAGCAGGTAAATACAAATTCTATATAAGGCAATGGGGGTGAGAAGAACTAGCGGGGGAGGGGGGCGTCACATAGAAGACAGTGCTTAAGCTAAGTCTTGGCAGAACTCTAAGGGGCAGCTGTGAGGAAGGAGTATGTTTCAGGCATGGCAAGGGAGCCTGGAATCTGTGCAAAGCCAGAACACACACATGGAGATGGGAGATAGAGCATTGTGTGTGAAGCACAGTGAGAAGGCCTCTTCAGCTGGGCCACAGGTGGACAAAGGCAAGGAGAGTATAGTGAAGCAGGAAAGGTACATTGAGACCAAGTCAAAATGAGCTCTGAATGCCAGACAGGGGGGTTCAAATTTGATCTCTGCAGTGATGTGGAGCCACTGAGGTTTACTGAGTATAGGACTGACACAGTTAGCCGTGTGCTGGAGGAGAACATAGTTTGGATTAGGGAGAGACAAAGCAAGACCATTTAAAAGCCCATGGTAATCATCCAGGTGGGAGATGATGCGGGTCTGCTGAGGGTGGCGGCTGTGTGGTGGAGACAAGGGGCTAATCCAAGCTTTGACTGTGGGAGGCGTGTGAATGAGGAGTCTGGGCAGGACATCCCAGGCAACCTGAAGAACCTTGGTGCCAGGGAAATGCAGAGAGGGGTGGCTGGCAGAGGGGAAGGAGGGAGATGGTTTCTGTCCATGGTATTTCCAGGTGAAAATGTCCACCAGGCAGCTGGTGATGCAGGAATGGCACTCCTGGGAGAGAAACTGGTGTGGGAAACAGATGTGAGAGAGATTTGAATAGGAATGGGACCTGATGAGGCCACAAAGAGGGGAGCATCAAGAGAAAAGAGGGCCCAGGATAAAGCCATGGAGGGACACTGGTATGGATGACGATCAAATGAGATAATAATGGAAAGGCACTTTGCAAACCATAGTGGGCCATATATATGCTAGCTATTATCATTAAGCAAAGGAGACTGAGAATCTGAAAGGTAGGAAGAGTTCAGCATCATGAAAATTCTATAAAGAGGAAGTATCCAGGAAGAGAGGGCAGCCCACAGAGTCAAATGAGAGAGACAGGTTAAGAACAAGAGTCCTGAAAAGGCTCCATGAGATCTGGCGATGATGACATCAGAGAGCTGTGCTGGTGCTGTGAGCAGGCCAGGAGCGAGACTATACAAGGATGAGAAGTGAGGAAGCACAGACGGAGCCAAGGCAACGAGTGTGGACAAGCTTTCTCTGTGAGTTAGGTTAAGGAAGAGAGGAGACATTCTGGACAAGAGCTTGAGGGCCTATAGGGCCATGGGAAGTTTTTTAAGGAGGGAGACTTGGGCATGTCTGCAAGCAGTAGGAAAAGAGCTGATAGGGAGAGAATAAAGATTAGGGAGTGAAAGGCAATTTGGGGATGATCTGCTGGATAAGGCTCTAGGGGTAAGAACAAGGACACACATGGAGGGCACATCTTTAGTAAAGAAAAGGGCCAACTCTTCATTAGAGACTAAAGGAAGAGGTGACAGATGATGTCAAGAGGTCTAAGATACAAGGAATAGGGGGAAAGGGCGCTCACAGAGAATGGCCTCAATTTACTCTGTGAAGGACAAGGCAAAGTCTTCATGAAAAAAAAAAACAAGCACCATCCTACCAAACACACACACACACACACACACACACACACACACACACACACAGAAAAGCCAAGAACAATTGCAGAACACAAAAGACTCATAGGAGCAATTACAAGACACTCTCCTTCATTCCGGTGACTCCCATCTTGTCTTCTGGACCTGCAGCAGCAGACACTGTTGACCAACCTCTCCTCCTGGACACTTTCTCCTCTTTGGGTTTTTGTAACACTGCTCTCTCCTGGGTCTTTTCCCATTGGGATGATCTGACCATTCCTCCACCTCCTTTGCTGGCTTATCATCCATGTCACTCCACCCAACTATGGGTGTGCATTACCTAAGTCTCTTCTCTCCTCCCTCTATACTCTTTCAATAACCTCATCTGTTTCCAAGGGCTTAACTACCATGTCTATGCAGATGATCAACAGATGTGTGTGTGTGTGTGTCTGTGTCTGTGTCTGTGTGTGCATGGAGGTGTATATATGGAGATATATATATATACACACACATATATTTCCATAAATACACACACACAGAGGAGGCATACATCTCCACATGTGTGTGCAGGCCTTTTCACCCAAAGCCTCCCCTCTTCCAAAGTTCCCCTTTCCTGTTGAAGGTAGCCCCTTTGCTCTAGCCTCCCAGGTTCTCACCTCTGGCTTCTTCTCACCCCACAGATCCAGTCAGAAGGCAGTTCCTGCCATTTCTACCTTTACAATATCTCTCCTCTGCCCTCTTTTCTCCATTACCTCTTGCCTAGAGTACAGCAACGGCCTCCTATTCCATTTCCCTGACTCACCCCCTCACCACTTCAATCCATCTACTCCCTGCTATCAAAGTCACCTTCCATAAGCCCAGATCTGGCCATGTAACTCCTCCACTCAGCCAATTCCAACAGCCTTCCTACTACCACTAGTATAAAATATACAATCCTCTCTTTAGTTTTGAAATGGTTTACAACATGGACCCTTTCTGGCCTCATTGTACATTACTCCTCCTCTTAAATGCTGCAGTCCAGCCAAAACCACTTTCTTTTCTCATACGTTACACTCAATCTCCTCCCCTCTGCCTCCTAGAGTCCCTCCTTCTAGGACCCAGCTCAAGCCCTATCTTCTGAATGAAGCCTTTCCTTATCCAATGGCCCTTCCTCCCAAACTGCCTTGTGTTGAATTATTTGATATATTTGTATTTATTCATTGCACATGCACACACACATATGCATACACATGTGCACACACACACACACACACACACACACACACATTAAAAGATACTTATTTCCCCCATCAGGATGCCAGCTCCTAACGACCAGGGATTGTTTCATTCTTTGTATTTATACCTCTGACACCTAGGAAAGTACCTGGCATATAGTGTTTAATAAGTGGTTACTGATTGACTGAATCATGTCCTTGAAGGCTCTACACTTCTCTTTTCAGAGTATCCATTGCTCTAAGATCTTCTGCCTTCTGTTCCAAACAACCTAATCAGTTTGTCTTTTCAAAGTCTTTTTAAAGAGCTCTAATCTCCTTTAATTTTGGAAATCAGCTCAATCACTCTGGGGCTCTTGTGGTAGTTTTATAATCACTTCATGGTATCTAGCTGCTGTTACTGAAACATTGTGTTCTTCTCCATTTCCTGTCTCCAAACCTCTGCTCTGGCTGTGCACTATACCTCAAATATACTTCTCCTGCCTCACTTCTGCCTCTTAGAATTTCTGTTTCACTGCAGACTCAGATCAGATCCTGCCTACTAGAGGAAGCCTTTCCTGATCTTTCCAGCTATGGGTGCTCTGCCTGTCCCAGCCTACCCCCATCACCCTGTGATTATTTTGTATGTAGTTCATATATATATATATATATATATATATATATATATATATATATATATATATATATATATATATAATATATATATATATATATATATATATATATATATATATATATATAATATATATATATATATATATATATATATATATATATACACACACACATATATTGTCTTCCCCCTTACACTGCCCCTGGCTAGAATGTAACCACCTTGACAGCACAGACAGATATTTCTGTCTTTGTATCTCCAGCTCCTAGCACTGCCCCTGGCCCACAGTAAATAATAAATAAATATGATTAATTGATTTTTCTGCAGTTATCACTTTAGGCCATGCCATTGAGCTCTTTTTTATTTACTCATTTCTTCAGTCTCTTTGTTGGTATTTCAAGTTCTCACTATGAATGTGTCCTCCTTTATTTTTCTTTTCCTTTACTTGCAGTATTCCTTGCTGTTTGGAGGCCATGAAGAAGAATGGGGTTTAGACACGATCACTCACATTTTCCCCACATTTTTTATACTTGTAGAAATTCCCTCCAGGATGAGTTCATTGATGGTAAAAATAGGGTAGACCTCTGAGCAGAGACTTTTCCCAGTCACTGTATTCTTAGAGTTTGGCGATGCTCAATGAGACCTTCCCTTTGGGAAACCAAAGACTTTCCCCAGCACCAGAATCCTCTGCTGAAGGCCTTCATACAGTCATGTCATCCATGGTTTTCTCTAGTGTGAATTCTCTGATGTGGAAGATTTGAGTCCATAAGGATTTTCCATATATTTCACATCCATAGGGTCTCCAGTAAGAATGTTTTATGGTGAATAAGGGCTGAAATATATCTGAATACTCTTTCATGTTACTTACATTCATAGGATCTCACTCCTTTATGATTTTTTTCATGGTTATAAAGGGCTGAACAGTTGCTGAAAACCTTGTCACATTCCTTACATTTATATGGTTTCTCTCCAGTATGAATTCTCTGATGTTGAATGAGATATGACCTCTTCCTAAATGCTGTCCCACATTCCTTACAATGATATGGTTTTTCACCCGTGTGAATTCTTTGATGTTGAATAAGAACTGAGTTCTGCCTGAAGGCTTTCCCACATTCTCTACATTTATATGGCTTTTCTCCAGTGTGAATTAGCTGATGTGAAATAAGGTCTGATCTCCGTATGAAGGCCTTCCCACATCTGATACACTCATAAGGCTTTTCTCCTGTGTGAATTCTCTGGTGGTGAACAAGGACTGAGTACTGCCTGAAGACTTTCCCACATTCCTTGCATTGAAAAGGTTTTTCTTCAGTATGAATTCTCTGGTGTTGAATAAGGACTGAGTTCTGCCTAAAGGACTTCCCACATTCTTTGCATTGATAAGGTTTCTCTTCAGTGTGAACCTTTCGGTGTTGAATAAAGACAGAGTTCTGTCTGAAGGCCTTCCCACATTCCCTGCATTTATAAGGTTTCTCTCCAGTATGAATTCTTTGGTGTTGAATGAGATGCGACCTCTGCCTAAATGCTGTCCCACATTCCTTACATTGATAAGGTTTCTCTCCAGTGTGAATTCTCTGATGTATAGCAAGGTATGACTTCTGGCTGAATACAGTCCCACAATCTTTACATTGGTATGATTTCTCTTCAGTATGAACACCCTGGTGTTGGGTAAGGCCTGAGTTGTGTCTGAAGGCCTTTCCACACTCTTGACATTTATAAGGCTTCTCTCCTGTGTGAATGTTCTGATGTGCAATGAGGGTTAGGCTCCGGCTAAAGGCTTTCCCACATCTAGTACATTCATAAGGTTTCTCTCCAGTATGGATTTTCTGGTGTCGAGTCAGGTGTGATTTGCAATTGAAAGCCTTCCCACATCCCTTACACTGATAAGGTTTCTCTTCAGCATGAATGCTCTGGTGTTGGACAAGGACTGAGTTCTGCCTAAAGGCCTTCCCACATTCCCTACATTTATAAGGCTTCTCTCCAGTATGAATTCTCTGATGATGAATGAGGTGTGACCTCTGCCTAAATGCTGCCCCACACTCCTTACATTGATAGGGTCTTTCTCCAGTGTGAATTCTCTGGTGTTTAGTAAGGTATGACCTCTGGCTGAAGGCTATCCCACATTCATTACATGAATAAGGCTTCTCTCCAGTGTGAATTCGCTGGTGTTTAGTAAGGTATGACCTCTGGCTAAAGGCAGTCCCACATTCCTTACATGGGTAAGGCTTCTCTCCAGCATGAATTCTCTGGTGCTGTTTGAGATGTGACTTCTGCCTAAAAGCTGCTCCACATTCCTTACAAGGATAAGGTCTCTCTCCAGTGTGAATTTTTTGATGTTTAGTAAGGTATGACTTTTGGCTAAAGGCTGTCCCACATTCCTTACATGGATAAGGCTTCTCTCCAGTGTGAATTCTCTGATGTTTAGTGAGATATGACCTTTGCCTAAAGGCTGCCCCACATTCCTTACATTGATAGGGTTTTTCTCCAGTATGAATACTCTGGTGTTTAGTGAGATATGACTTCTGGCTGAAGGCTGTCCCACATTCCTTACACTGATAAGGTTTGTCTCCAGAGTGAATGTTCTGATGTTGAACAAGAACTGAGTTGTGTCTGAAGGCCTTCCCACATTCCTTACATTTATAAGGTTTTTCTTCACCACGAACTTTCTGATGTTGAACAAGGGGTGAACTTTGCCTGACCACCTTCCTACATTCCTTATATTCAAAAAGTTTGTCTCCAGAATGAATTCTTTCATGATTAATAAGGCATGAATGGCTGGTAAAGATCTTTTCACAGTCCTTACATTTATAAGGTTTGTCTTCATTATGCATTATCTGATCTTGAGTAGGGTGGGACCTTTCCCTGGTCTTCTCACCCTCCTGGTAAGGCTTCTCTCCAGCAGGAATTCTCTTAGGTTGAATAACATGTACATCCTGACTGAAAGTCTTCCCAAATTTCTCACAATCATAAGGTTTCTCTTGCCTATTTATTCTCTGTTGTTGAATAAGGGCTGTGAGATTCCTAAATACATTATTATCCCATGATCTCTTGAGCCCACAGATGCTCTGACCAAAACTTTTCCCAACATCAATACAACCATGGCCTATCTGCACATTGGGAGTTTTACTGTGGAAGAAAATCAATTTCTTGAAACCACTTTCATGGGTGAGGAATTTCCTTGGAGTGTCCTTTGGAACACTTCCCATTTGCTTCCATAATGGAATCTCTTGGGCAGGATCTCCCACAAACATGGAGCCCTGGAGGACATCTTCAGGGAGTCTTTCCCTTAATGTCTCTGGTGATCCTGCTTCTTGATTTCGAGGTAACTTCTGGTTCTTAAGATTAGACTCCCAAGCTAAAACAAATTAGGAATGAAAATAATTGAAAATGAGTGAGTTAAAAGACCAGCCCAACCCTTACCAGACTCATGAATCTTCCTAGTCCAGAGACAAGTGGAAGCCAAGAAAGTTAAGGCAATCCTAGAAAGCATTAAGGGAGGCACGGTACCCAAAGCTATGGTGGTGATCAATCCTCGCTACTCTGCCCTGGTCATATACAACTGGAGTTGTGTGTTCATCTGGGGAAATCACATTTTAAGAATGATGTAAAAAGAGTAAGAGAGTATAGAGAAGAAAGCAACAAGGTTGATGAAGGGCCTTGAGTTTGTGACACATGAGGATGGGGAGGCTGATGAAATTCATGAATGTGCAGACTTACAGGAGAGACAAGAGTGGTCTGAAGGAATTCAAACGGCTCAGATCCAGATGACACAACTAGGGACAGTGGATGAAAATTATCCAAGGAATCTTTAGGCATAATCTGAGAAGATATTTCCTAAGGGTCTGATTGCCCAAAAGTGGAATGAACTCCCTTGGGGGTGTGGGTGTGCCCCTACACTGGGAGACTCCAAGGAAGGGCTGCACAGGCAACCCGTTAGGGAGGGAAAGGGGGCTGGGCGAGATGGCCTCTGAGGCTGCTTCTGATTCCCTGGATTCATTGAGCTTTTAGCCCATTGGAACTGGAATGCCATCTGAGTGCCTCATTTGAAAGACAAGGAACTGCATGTTCCAAGAGTTGACTTGATTTCCCTAAACTCATAAAGTGAATTAGTAACAGATCTGAGACAAGGAGCCAGGTGCCTGGGCTCCTCCTCCTCTGTTCTAATCCACTGTCTGTCTAAATATCTCTGTATCCCTCTATGCAGAAGGAGGAAATTGCTAAGTGATGATGATGATGATGAAGCTGTGGAAAAGGCAACAAGAAAGAGCAAGGCCTTGATAGTTATTAAAATATCCTGGTCACCCAGAGAGTTAATGGAGAGGTGGTGGGAGATGGAGTGACAGCAGAGAGAGGTGTGGTAGCAGCAGGAAAGGGAAGCTGTGAGGTTAAGACCACTTTAAGAAGACTCATGTAAGAGCCTGGTGTACAGAACAAGATAATCTAAATCTTGGCTCCTACATTTTAGAGACTACCTAGTTCAAGCACATATTTTACAGAAAAGGAAACTGAGGCTCAGGGGGAAAATGATGTGTCCAACACCATAGTTTGTGTCAAAGGCAGAGCAGGGTCAAGGGTTGGTGAATGTCGGAACCAGGATGGATCATTTAATCATGCCCTCATTTGACAAAGAAACAGAGGCTGAGAGGAATTAAATGAGTTGCTGACGTGTAGACACCACCATCTTCTGGGCATATATTTAGTTACAGCTTCGCAGGTGAGCTCTGTGTTGCCCTTTGGACAGGGTGCACTTCTTACCATTTTTATGTTCTGGAGCCCTTGGGCATTGAAGCCTGGGAACTCATCAGAATCATGGTTTTAAATGCATAAAATATATAGGATAACAAAGGAAACCAATTATATTGAAAAAAAGCTATCAAGATATTTTTTAAAAAATAAGTTGATAAAGGCCAGGTAAAGGATTTGTATCTTAGGGGCAGTCTTAACTTCAGAGATCAGAGGAAGGAATCAGGAAAGTCTTCACTGGGGTCCCCCCTGCCCTCCATGCACACACCTGCACCATCCAGCGCTTTGAAGATGGCTGTACACGGGTGATAAGCAGAGTTGCTCCTTCCCCTGGATCCTGACTGCCGGCTGGATCTCCCTCCTTCACACAGACAGGTGCATCTGGCAAGGCATCCCAGGGGATCCCAGATCTCAGTCTCTTCCCCTTGTTCCAACCAGGAGATCAGATCTGGCTTGGGACCAAGAAGCCCTGCTCAAGGGAGAGAAACGAGATGGGTCTGTATGCACTGGAGTGGGTAGGGGTCACGTGGTCAAAGGAAGGCTGCAGCAGCTGACAACAGCCCAGCCTTGGACTAGAGCTATCCAATGGTGTGATCATCGAGAGAAACAGATAAGCTCATGATTCACAAGGGACCATGCTGTAGACCTGGCCTAACCTCTCCTCAAAACTATGACTTTCACATTTCTCAGAAACACGCCTCCTAGCTGGCCATCTGGTGCCTACTTCAACATCTCTAGTGTCAAGGAAGTCATGACCTCTCTGGGCCTCAGTTTCCACAAATGTAAAATGGGCCCACTGTCCATCCCAGCTGAGCTTATGACACTCCAGACTTTGTTCCTAGGACTCAGCTGCCTTCTCATCATCACCTGGAGCCTTCCCACCCCAGAACGTCCCTCTCCACTTCTTCCATTGGTGAATTCCTACTAGGAGCTTCCACTTTGGGGACTGCTTAGACCAGCCATCCTTCATTCAGCTTCTGACTCTACCTCATCTTTTCTTTGAAATCTCCTCCCTCTTACAGTGCATTTCCCTCATTAGAATGGAAGCTCTTTGAAGGCAGAGGACAGCTTCTTTTTTTGCTTATATTTGTATTATTGGTGCTTAGCACAGAGCCAGGCACAGAGCATGCATTTGCTGCCTGCTTGCAAACTAGGAGGAGGGCTGGACTGAGACCCAGAAGGATGCTGGTCAGATGTATTTGTAAACTGCGTGGGAGGAGAGAGGAAGTGCCCTGGGCTGGGGCTGCAGAGAACTGGCTCAAGCCCCCATCTGCATTTCCTTGCTGGACGACCTTGGACAAATCATTTCCCCACTTTGGGCCCGTTTCCTCCATTGTAAAGTAAAGGGGTGGGAGTGAATGACCTCCAATGGCCCCAAGAGTGCCATCGTTCTATAGTTTTATGACCTATTGGGGAATGTCTGGAAACATGGGTCCCTTTCCCAGTCAGGAGGAGAGGAACACCAAGCTATGGAAGCCTTTACAGAGGGTGCCCCAACTCCCCGGGGGAGGCATCCTTACCCAGGGAGACCAGGTTCCTGTAGTTCTCCAGCATCACATCTCTGTAGAGCTCCCTCTGAGCAGCACTCAAGCATCCCCACTCCTCCCAGGTGAAGTCCAAGGCCACATCCCTGAAGGTCACTGCTTCCTGAAACACCAAACACACTCATGCTGGGCCAGGGGGCAGAGGGGGAAGGGCCCAGAATGGACACGGAGTAGATGTGAAGGTGTTCTGGAGGGAGGGAGGGGAAAGAAAGGGAGACTAGGGAATGCCCAGTCCTGGGAGGCCAGGAGAGTTGGGACTGGAGGGATTAGAGCTGGGAGGGACCCCAGAGGGCATCAAGTCCAATCAATCTCATTTTGCAAATCAGGAAACTGAATCCTAGGGAGGTGAGTGCTCCGACAAAGGCGGCCCAAGAAGAAGCGCCAGGACTGGAACTCAGGTCCTCTTGCTCCAGAGCCGGCCCCTCTCCCCAGTTATTGGGCATTGAGAAAATCCCTTCCCCCTCTGGCCTTCAATTTTCAGAGTAAAGGGAGAAAGCTGGCAGGTGAGATGATCTCTAGGCCCCGTATCTGACTTTCAGGAGCAAAGAGAATGGCCCCCAGCTCCCAGAGTACAAGAGGGACTCAGCGGCTGATCTTCTGCCAGGACTGCCACACGCAAGAAGCTGAAGAAGCAAACATGTCTGTGCTGTGGGAAGGGGGCGAGCTCATCGAGAGAGGAGCCTGTCACTCACCTGGGATCTGGCCCCCAGGATTCTGGCGGGTGCTCCAGCCTCCTCAAGGCTCCCCTCCCAGGTGCAGTTGTGAAGCATCAGAGCTGTGGGGCAAGAGAGGAGCCCCTGAAGGCGGGCTGGCTTTCCAGCCTCTGAACTCCTTTGGATACCCACCTACCTAAACCCGCCCACACACAGGGCATCCCCTAGGATTGGAGACATAGATAAAGGAGTCTTTGGCAGAGAAGCAGTGACCCACATCATGGGCACAGGTGATAGATCATGGGAGAAAATATAGAAGAAAAGACAATCCAGGTCAGTCTTAGGGCCACTCACTGGAGGGGCAGGAGGCAGAGGAAGAGGCCACAAAGGAGACTGCTGAGAAATAATCTGAGACTGGGAAACCAGGCAGGAAGAGCAATTGATCTAGCAATAAGCATTCATTAAGCACCTATTATATGCCAGGCATTGTGTATGTGTGTGGGAGAACAAAGACAAAAATGAAAGAGTCCCTACCATCAGTGAGCTTACATTTTGATGAGGGAAAACAACATATACATATGTAAATATACATGTATGTTCATGTATACATACACAAATATATGTATATGTTTGTATTTGTATCTGTGTGTAGGTACATGTATAAGTACACAAATATATGTACATGTTGTATATTTGTGTGTGTGTGTGTGTGTGTGTGTGTGTGTAGACAGAATACACACAAAATGAGTACAAGGTGTTTTGGGGCACCAGGGACCTAGCGGAAGAATCTCCCTGCAGCAGATAGCATTTGACCTGGGGCTTCAAAGAAACTGGGGGTTTCAGAATTTGTGAAAGTGGAGGCTGATGCTCAGACAATGGTCCTAGGAGGTGGGAAGTGTGGTGATGCCACCAAGAGTTGTATGAAAGTTGAGAACTCTTACGGACATAATGAATTTCTTTGGCCTGTGGGATACATGAAGTACCCAGGAAGGGGTTCCCTATTGGACAAGAATTGTTGGAAAACCTGTAGAGCAGTCTGGAAGAAATCACATTCAGACTAATATTTTATACCATAGACTATAACAAACTCAAAATGGACAACTGACTTGAATATGAAAGTTCATACCATAAAAAAATTATAAAAAACCAGATCAGGCACTTTTCACAGCTATGTCTAGAAGAATTTTTTAAATTCAATTTTATTTTTTTTCAATCAATGAAAATCCATCTTCTCCCCCTTCCCTGCCCTTTGAGAAAGAAAGAAAAAGAAAACCCTTGTTACAAATGTATATAGTTAAGTAAAACAAATTCTCACATTAGGCATATCCAAAACCTAGGGAGTGAATTCTTGACCAAATAAGGGCTAGCAGACATTAGAAAAACAAAAACCAAATGTCAGTTATATGAAATGGAAAAGTTTGCATGAATAAAATCAATGCAACTAAAATAGGAAGGTAAGCAGTCAAATAGGGGGAAAACCCTTCTATATCAAACATCTTTAATAATGGTTAGATAGGCAAGATATATAGACAACTAATTGAAATGTATGGCCAAAATCTATTTATTCTCTAATAGATAAATGGTCAAAGGATATGAACAAATGATTCTGAAATAATTCTAATCTATTAACATCTATATGCTCCAAATGACAAAGAAGAATGAAAGCCAAACAATTCTAAGGCTTCACATCAAACTGACAAAGTGACGAAGAAGACAAAAGATGGAAAGTCTACCCAGGAGGGGCTGCGACAAGGCAGGCATCCTGACATGTGCTGGGTGGGGCTGTGAATCCTGGAAAAGTGATTTTAATCGTGTGAAGATAGCGACCAGAATGCCTATTCCCTTTGACCCAGAGGAGGTCAATGACAAAAGGAAAGCATCTGTGTTTAGAGCAGTACTCTTTGAAGCAACTGCTATAAAAAAGACAGCAAATGGGAAACGGCTGGACCACTGCAAGACACAGATGTCATGGAATATAAAGTAATGAGTAAAACGGAAATGCATGAGAAAACTTGCAGGCACTGAAACCAAGTGAAGTAAACAGATCCAGGAAGACAGATAACACAACAATGCAAATGGAAAAGAGTAACCAAAGAAAAGGCTAGCCACTCAGGCTGGCCTGAAGGAAAGATCTGAGAGGACCTCTCCCCTGCTTCTTTGTAGGTAGGGGCGGGGAACTGTGGGTGAGAAACCAGCTTATCTGACATGTTGGTGAGTTTTGGGGAACTGCTTCCTCCCCACCCTCCCAACCCATTTTAAAATTTTCATTATAAGAAATTGGTTTCTAGGAGGTACAGGAATACATTGGAAAATGTAGGTATGACCAATGAAATACATTTTTTAAAAAAGGGGGGGTGAAAGGAGAGGAGATAAAGGTACTGAGTGTGGACAACTTTTTCAAGGATATCAGCTGAGAAAAGGAGAGGCATAGATCAGCACCTAGGAAGGGATTTGCAGTAGCTCATGAGGGTTTAGTAAGGATGGAGAATGGGAAGGAACCAGGAGGTAAAGAGAGCTTGAAAAGGGGAAAGGGGATGCTAGTGGGAGTGGAGGTGGGAGGGGTTTGGAAGAAGTGGCCTTGTGGCAAGCTTGAGATTACGTAATAAATCTGTCTCGAACCCAGTCAGGACAGTAGAAGAGTGTGCCAGGGTAGGGCTGGAGAAGGTAATTGTGAGCCAGGCACTAAATTCATTGAGAAATGAAGGAGAATGCTGGGTGGGGGGAGGGGGATAGATAACAGCCACCAGAATTTAGATTCGTTGAAAAAAAAGTGGATTGAGAGAATCTTCAAATAAAGGAGGAGAGGATGCTGATGAATGGCAGGACAAGGGAGGTCTAAAGAGGCAGTGGGGAGTAAGGAGCATTTCAACTCCACTAGCTCAAACAAATGAGTCAGAGAGGCATAAGAATGCAGACCTGAAAAGAGTAGCTAGATTAGACATCCAGCCAAACAGGTAGAAGTTTAGTTTAGTAAACCTACAAAAAAATTAAAAATAAAAATAAAAACAATCTTAGGACCAGGATTCATTATTCAACAAATGGACTTGGGAAAATGATTTAGCAATCTGGCAAGAAATTAATTTAGTCCCACATCTCACATCGTTTATATTCATGGATTCCAGCTGGATGATAGAACTAAAACACTTTTTAAAGAAATGCAAAAGAGAAGGAAGGCAACAGAATAATGTATTTATCTTGGCTGTAAAAAGAAGTGAGGATTTTTTTTTCTATTCAACAAATAAGACAGATTATTAGGAACAAGACATGTTTGTCCCTAATGAAAATAAATACACGAACAATACATGAAATACATTAACAAAACATGAAAAAATAAAAATAAAATATAAAGTGGAAAAATAATAGATCATGAGAAATATTTATGGGAAATTTAACAAATTTAAATTATTTTTCAATTAACATGCATTTGTTTTATCTCCCTCAATCTTCCTTGCCATTGAAAAAACAAAATCTGTGTAACAAAAACATGCAAAGTCCATCACAACAAATTCCCACATGGGCCATATCAAAATAAATGTGTCTCAGTCTGCACCCCAAGTCCATTATCTCTCTTAAGAGATGGGTAGCATACAGCATTACATTGGACTTGGAGTCAGAAAGACCTGAGTTCAAACCCACCCTCAGATACTTACTAGCTATGAGACCCTGGACAAGCCACTTAATCTTTGTCTGCCCATTTTCTTATTTATAAGATAGGGATAATAACAGCACCTCCCTTTCCTCTCTAAACTCCTTGAAAAACTATCTAGAATTGGGACCCCTGCTTTCTCTCCTCTCACTCTCCTTGTAATTCTCTGCTATCTGGTTTCAGACCTCATTATTCTATGGAAATTGCCCCCTCCAAAATTATCAGTGATGGGGTGGAGTTAAGATGGTGAGGTGAGAGGAACAATTTTGCCTAGTTCACCCAGCAAACCTCTTCTACAACCTAGAAAATGTGCCAGACCAAATTCTGATCAGGCAAGCCAAGAAAAAAAGTCACAAGTTAACGTTCCAGGGCAGTGTAATTTAGAGAAAGAGACATAAAGGTCTGCAGGTCCTAGAGACAGTGTCTGGCCAGAATTGCAGAATTCCATTGCCAGGGACTGAAACAGAGTCAAGATGGGGCACCAGGGCAGGAAGCTTCAGAGTAGAATCCAAGGGGGCAAAATCTAGAGGTCCCACAAAGGAGAAAGTACTGCAAGCAGGCAGAAAGAAAGGATTCAAGTACTGAGGAGCTACAGTCAGGATCACACAAGATTTAGCAGCTACCATGTTAAAGGAGTAGAGGGCTTGGAATGTGATATTCCACAGGGAAAGAAAATAGGCTTACAGCCAAGAATCACCTACCCAATAAAACTGAATGAGTGTGTGTGTGTGTGTGTGTGTGTGAACACATAGTATATAGGTGGAAAAAATGTACTTTTAACAAAAGAGGTCTCCCAAGCATTCTTAATGAAATGACCAGAGCTGAGTAGAAAATGTGACATACAAACACAAGAGACAAGAGAAACATAAAAAGGTAAACATGAGTGAGCAATCATAAGGGATTAAGCAAGGTTAAACTGTTTATATTCTCATATGGGGAGATAACACATGGAGCCCCTCAGAACTATAATCATCAGGGGTCATTTTCACTTGTTCAGTCATGTTTGACTCTTCATGACACCATTTAAGGTTTTCTTAGCAAATATACTAGAGTGGTTTGCCATTTCCTTCTCTAGCTCATTTTACAGATGAGGAAACTGAGGCAAACAGGATTAAGTGACTGAACCAGGGTCACACAGCTAGTAAGTTTCTGAGGCCAGACATTAACTCCAAGCCTGGCACTCTACCTACCACATCACAAAGCTGTCCCTCAGGGGTCACAGAAAGAATCTAATTAGACAGGGAATCTCAGAGTGATTTGATTATCTTTTAATGATCTCAAAAGAAGAATGGACAAGGTAGGTAGGTAGCATAGTGGATAGCGCACTGGCTCTGGAGTCAGTAGGACCTGAGTTCAAATCCAGCTTCAGACCAGATACTTGACACATACTAGCTGTGTGACCCTGGGCAAGTCACTTAACCCCAATTGCCTCACCAAAAGAAAAAATGGAAAAGGTGAGGAAAAGGAACACACTGAGAAAGGAGGGAAGCGAGAGGGAGAATGGAGGAAATTATCTCACATAAATGAAATAAATGTACAAGAACTTTACCCAAGAAAAAGGGAATGCCTCCCTTCCCCCTCTCAGAGTGGGCCACTCTTGAACCTCACTCTCCTCTGAAGTGGTCAAAGGAGGGAAGAATACACACACATAGAGTTGGGTACAGAAAAACATCTTACCCAACAGAGAAAGGGGTCAAGGGAAAGAGGGGAAGGGCATAAGAAGGATGGATAGATTAAGAGGCATTAGTCATAAGCAAAATGAAGTTATCAGTTATCTCTTCATTACTAAATACAATGGTCTTTTCTTGATTCTCCTCACTCTTGACCTCTCTGTAGCTTCTGACACTGTTGATCACACATTTCTCTGAATACACTCTCCTCTAGGTTTTTGTGACCCCACTCTCTCTACCACTTTCCTGGATCCCCATCCAGGTCATGCTCACCAACCACGAGGGGGGCCCAAGGCTCTGTCTAGGGCCCTCCTCTCTTCTCCTTCTATACTACCTCAATGGGTGATCTCAGAAGCTACCATGAGTTCAATCATCAACTGTCCACCATCTCTGAAGGAGCCTGGGGAATGGGAGATGTACCAGAATCCTGGAAGAAGGCTCAGGTTGTACTGGTTTTCAAAACACAGAGGAAAATGGAGCCTGCAAACCACAGGTCACTGAGTTCAGCCTTGATTCCTGGCCAAGTTCTAGACCATTTTATTAAAAGAATAGTCAATCAACAGCTAGAAAAAAATAGGGAGCTAAGAAAGTTAATGATCCATTTAGGCCGCATTTAGATAGGCACAGAATCCAGGAATAAAGAGGTAAACGTTCTCCAGGACTCTGTCCTGGTCAGAGCACACCTGGCTTACCATGTTTAGAGACAGCCAAGAGACCCAGGGAATATAGTGCTAGTCTTGCAACAAGGGGGATCTGAGTTCAAATCCTGCCTCAGCTCCAGTTTCCTCATCTGTCAAATGGGGATAACAGTAGCATGTACCTGCCAAGTTCCACCCCTTTCTTCCTCTTTCTATATTTGTCCTTTTACCCTCCTTTCTCTTCTTCCCCATAAACCCATCAGAACAGACCCAAACTGCCCCCGACCTCCCCATCTTATCTAATTCTCTCAATGCCTTAGGAAGACATAAAGGTTTCACGAGGATAATTGTTCCCCCCTCAATAGAATGTTATCACTTTGACATCACATGACCCCTTCCAATTGCACAAATAAATTGACCTTCCTACTCTTCTCTTGACTTTCATGTTTGTATTTCAAAGTTTCTGCTTCCCTGTGGCCTTTTCACAAGGAATGCCTGAGGTCATCTCTTCCATGTCCATTTCCTCCTCCATAGGAGGACGGCACTCAGCTATAGTTTTGCACTTTTGGAATACCACTTTCCAAGAGCTCCTTTCGAATTCAGGTGTGTGAGAAGAAGCGGATACAAACATGGGGGGGGGGCCCAGCATCCAATGCAATCACCTTTACTGGACCTGAACAACGAACAAAGGGGTGTACACACACACACACACACACACACACACACACACACACACGCACACACACGCGCACAAGTTGGGTTTAGAAATACAACAAACTCAGCAGGGAAACAGGCAGGAATGGTGGCGGGGGAGCGGGGTGTAATACAGGGAAGGAACAGTAGTGAGCAAAGCAAAACAAACTTCACAGGACAGGTGCTAAAGAGGAAGTAAAAGGAAAGAAAAAGGAAACCAATGGACTGGAAATTCATAAAGATGTTCATTAACTGAGAAATAGTTCAATAAATTGTGAGAAATGAATGTAGTGGAACATTACTGTACTGTAAGAAATTCAGGAAGAGACCTTTTCAAAGAATCTAGGGAAAACTTGTATGAGTAGATGCAGAAGGAAATGAGAACCTAAGAATTAACTTGCACAGTAACAAAAACATGGTCAAGAAGAACAATGACCAACCATGACTCCAAAGGTCAGGTAATAATATGATAGCTAGTATTTGTATAGCACCTACTACGTGCCAGGAACTCTGCTAAGTGCTTTACAATGATTATAATAGCTAATATTTATATAGCACCTACTATGTGCCAGGCACTCTGCTAAGTGCTTTACAATGATTATAATAGCTAACAAAAGCTAACATTTGTATAGCACCTACTATGTGCCAGGCACTCTGCTAAGTGCTTTACAATTATTATGATAATAACTCCTTCACCAGGAGGAGAGAGCAGCTCTTTCCAGGGAGCTCTGAATCTAGGATTCGAACCAGTGTCTTATTTAATTTAGCCAAGCTTTCCCCTTGCAAGTTTTATGTCAGTTTCTGTTGCTGTTTGTCCTTTGCTCTCCAAAAGTTCCATGACATCAGGGAGGTGATGCCATGACATGTAAGTGAACTGGATTTAAGTGAGGGAGGGCTGTTATGCTCAGTAGGGCAGCTAGGTGGCACAGTGAATAGAGCGCAGGGCCCAGAGTCAGATCCAAGTTCAAATCTAGATTCAGACACTTACTGGCTGTGTGACCCTGGGCGAGTCACTTCACCCAGTTTGCCTCAGTTTCCTCATCTGTAAAAGGGGTTGGAAAAGGAAATGGCAAACTGCTCCAGTGTGTCTGCCAAAAAAAATCCCAAATGGGGTCCGGGAGAGTCAGACACAAATGAAAAAGGACCGCACAACAACAAAAATGACTTAGGTATCTGCTTGCTGTCTTCCCCTTGGATTCTAAGGGTTAGGATGTGACTGACCTTCTTGAGGGCTGGATTATGTTTTTGCCTTTATTTGTATCCCGGAGGTTGGCGTGCTGCTGAGCACAAGTGAGTGCTTAATTCACAGCCCCTATGCCGGACACTTCCCTTTCCAGTTTCCTTTTAGCCTCTCCAGTGCTAGGGGCGTTTTCTCTCATGCCCCCGGCCTCACCTGGGCCAGGGCTCTCGAAGTCTCTGAGAATCTCCCTCTCCCACAGGGATTAAGCTACTTCCCTTCCTTGGAAGCTGCCCTATCCAAATCCATCCCCTTGGCGCTGGCTTCCAGCGCCAAGGGGAGCCCCGGAAACTCGCCTTCCTGCCTTTACGAGGTCCGCGGCGGACTCCTGGTCCGATTCTCCGGCCCCCTACCCTGGGAGACAGCATTACATGGGACAGAGGAACAGGCTGAGAGAGTGCCAAAAGTGCACCCCAGAGTCAGACACGAACACACACACACACACACACACACACAGAGTGCACAGACAAAGAGCACACAAACACATAGGGACATCAGTGCACACAATGGACACACAAACACACAAGGACGTTATTAGTGCATAAACGGACCCACAAGCACATAGAACTTCAGTGTATATACAAGAGACACACACAACTGACAAACACACAAGGACGTTCTCAGTGCACACGCAACAGACACACAAACACACACAGGGACATCACCACACTCACAACGGACAAGCTATGAACACACAAATGCATCAGACACACAATCACACAACAGATGCACAAACACACAGAGGACACAGACACAACAGCGGCGCACACAACAGACACACAAACACACGCAGGGACGTCAGTGCCCACATAGCGGACACACACGGGCGCGGCCGTCCCCGGGGCACAACTACACTACTATACTACACAACCCACGCCCCGCCCCCACCACCCGCCACGATGCGACACAGCCCAGGCCAGTCACTGGGGGCCATCGCAGGAAGCCTCCTCAAGTGGGGGACACAAGGGCCCCGCCCCTCCCGCCCCCGCTCCCTCACCCGGCCTCACCTCCCTTCGCGCCCCTCCAATATCACCCCGGTATCCCCCCACAGACACAGAAGCCTGCGGGTGGTCGCTGTGCCTGCGCAGACGCAGTGTAGGCTGGGGGGGGAAGGAGAGGGTTAAGGAAGGCAACCCCAGGCGCATGCGTACCCCAAGCTTCTCTTCCCCCCTCCCTACTCGAGCTTGCGGGGCGGGGCCTGAAGCAGTCACTTCCTTTGTAAGTATCCGTGGGTGTGTAATGCTCCGTCTCTCTGAGAGTGCAAGTCTCTTGGCATTTCATGTGTGTCTGTGGGTGCGTGTTCTTGTCTAAGAGAGGGTGTGCGTGTGTGTGAGTGTGTCTCGGGCTTGTACACGCGGGGGCTCCCTCCTGGTCTCCTGCCTTCTCTTGGGAATGTGCTCCCAGCTCCCTTGATCTGTTGGGCCAAGCCCGTGGTCAGTCATTCATGGGCCAAGGGCCCCTTGGAGCCTCTCCTGTGAGCCTCCCTTTTCTCTCAGCATCCATTAAAACCCCACCTTGACTGTTCTCCACTTACCCTGAGTTACTGGTCCTGACCCACTGTACGTGTGTTCGCCACCCTCCTGCAATCACCCTCTGTTACCTGACGTCTCCTATATGTTTCCTTTTAAAATTTAAGGGGAGGTGGGTGGGAGGAAGAGTTCCCTGAGTGTCCACGTAGATCTCTTCAGATAAATCGTGTTTTTCTTCCTCACTGCAATTGTTTCCCTCTGGGTCTACAGACTTTGGTTCTTGGAGCATCTGCCATCCCCCTGGGCTGATTTCCCCTACAGCATTTTAATCCTTAGGATCTTCCCTTTTCCTCCGAATCCTTGAGAACCTTTCCTTTCTTTGTATTCCCCAGAATTTAGCACAGTGCCTGGCACATAGGCGCTTAATAAAAGCTTATTGGCTGACGGATGGTCGCCGCTCTCAAGGAGCTTACAGTCTTAATACGAGAAACAACGCGCAGCTATGTACAAACACGATGCCTACCGAGTAAATGGGAGATGATGGGCAGAGGACCGGAGCTAGAATTAAGGGAGATTGGGCAAGGCTTCTTCTAGAAGACAGGATTTTAGCTGACTTGAAAGAAGCCAGGAGATTCTAGGCGTGGGGACAGAAATGCCCAGAGTTGGGGAGATGCAGTGGCTTTTTCTAAGGATCAACGAGGCGGCTGGTGAATAAATGGAGGGGACTAAGAGGTAAAAACAATGGAAAGGCTGGGGTGGGAGGCAGGTAAGAAAAGGCTTCAAAAGCTAAACAGTGGAGTTTATATTTGATACTGCAGGTAACAGGGTGCCGCTGGAGTTTATTGAATAGGGGATGGCATGTGCTTTAGGAAGATCGATTTGTGGGGCAGCTAGGTGGTGCAGTGCATAAACCTCCAGCCTTGGAGTCAGGAGGACCTGAGTTCAAATCTGACCTCAGACACTTGATACTTAACTAGCTGTGTGACCCTGGGCAAGTCACTTAACCCCAATTGCCTCACCAAAAAAAAAAAAAAAGAAAGATCAATTTGATTACTGAGTCTCAGAGGATGGACTGGAGTGGGGAGAGACATGAGGCAGGGGAATCAATGCTATTGCAATAGTCCACGTGTGAGGGGATAAGGGCCAGCATCATCAAGGGGCAATCAGAGGAGAAAATGAGGGCTATTTAAGAGAGATATTGTGAAAATAAAATCAACAGGATATGGCAATTGATTGGATATGGGGAGGAGAGTGAGAAAGAGCAAGGAATGGAGGAGGCCACCTAAATTGTTAGGCTGGGAGATTATAAAAATGGTGGTCCTCAACAGTAATAGGGAAATTAGGAGGAGGGAGGAATTGGGGGTGAGAGGAATGAGTTCCTTTTTGAACATGTTCAATTTAAAATGTTTATGAGATATCCAATTTGAAATGTCCAATAGGCAGTTGGAGATGCAGTCTGGTGAAAGGTTAGGGCTGGAAAAGTAAATCTGAGAATTATTTACATAGAAATGATCATTGAATCCATGGGAATCGAGATCACCAAGCAAAATAGTTATAGAGCGAGAAGAGAAGAATTTCCAGGACACACAGGGTTACCAGGGGAGACCCAGCCAAAGATCCAGCAAAGGAAAATGAGAAGGACCAAACCATAGTTTTTAGTTGCCATAACATACTGTTAATTTATATTAAGCTTACACCATGCTGAGACCCTAATATCTACTTCAACTGGTAATAATGCCTCCCTCAGCTTGCATTTGTAAAGTTAATTTTTAAATGTAAATGTATGATATTTTATATGTATTTACATTTATGGTTCAAAAAGCATTTATAGTGTTCAGAGGAAAAGTAAGATCCGAAGGATGAGCATGCTACAGGGGAAATCAGCCTAAAAGGATGGGAGATGTTCAAAGAATAAAATTTTAAAGATACAAAGGGAAGCAATTCCAGTGAGGAGGAATTTATCTGAAGAGACTGATGTAGAAGCCCAGGAAACTCACCCCTCCCCCAAGTTCGATTTTTAAAATAAATGTACAAAAAATAAAGAGTCAGGCAACTGAAGGTGACTACATGGGGGCTGCAAGCACAGATACAATAAGGTCAGGAGCAATAAAGTTCAGGGTGAGATGGCCAGGAAGTATCTTTGCATTTTGGTTCATCATATTACACCAGTTTTTCCTTTTATTTCTTATTGTTGTCCTGTGAGATTTGATTTTGGCTTCCTTTGTAAGCTTATAGAGTAGCTTATCATATAGCATTTCTGAATTATATTAGAAGCATTTTTTATTTGTGTGTTGTTTCAGTCTCTCTGCTATTTTTGTTTATTTGGGCAGATTTCCCTTGAGTAGGAGTAGCTAGGTGGCACAGTCCATAGAGACTGGGCCTGGTCCAATCACACACTATGGCATTACCCTTTGCCTTGCAATGCAAGCACTTCCAGATAATTATTTGTATGTGTGTGAGGTTTCTTGAAATATGGTAGACAAGAATTGTGTTTTTCTTGCAGGAAAACATTTCATATAGCCTCACCAAGCTCTAGCTTCAAGGTCAGTTGCTTTTGTTTATTAAAATCTCAGTTGGTTTCCCAGGGTTGCTGTCTTTTGCTTTCCCTCTGATGATTCTTTGTCATGTTCAGCATTTTTATCCTCTGTCTCAGTCAAAGAAGACTTGGCTTCAAATCTGGAGTCAAACACTTATTAACTGTGTGACCCTGAGAAAGTCACAACCTCTGTCTCCCTTAGGTTCCTTAACTATAAAATGGGGATAATATAGCACCTGCCTCCCAGGACCACTGAAAAATGCTCAGTATAGTGCCTGGCACATAGGGCACTTAACACATGTTTCTTCTCTTCTCCTTTTGGTTGTTTTCTTCCTTTATTAACGTAGTTTCTTGATGATTTGAAGTGATGGAGAGCTGGCTTAGATACCACCACTCACTTCTTTCCTGTATACTTTATATTTGTAGCAATTCTCTGGAGGATGGAGTTCATTGATGGTTAAATATGGTAGACTTCTAACTGAAGGCTTTTCACATTCACTGCATTCTTAGGATTTCTGTCCAGAATACATTTGATGAATGCTTAATGAGACCTTCTCCTTCATATTGAAAGCTTTCCCATATTCATCACATTTATAAAGTAATGAATGAATAATTTCCTGTTGAAGGGTTGCCCCAGTGACTGAAGGCATTCACGCAGTCATAGATTCCCAGAATTTCTGTCCAGCGTGAATCCTCTGGGATTCAGTGTCTAGGGGCCCTACCACATCCCTTGCATTTATAAAGTTTCTCTCTATTATAAATTCTCTGATGTTCAATGAATCTTGATTCTTACTTTCACAGGGCTTCTTTCCTCTATTGCTGAAGGTATTTATATTTTCCTTATATACTAGTTTCTCCCTGCTATGAATCATTTTATGTTTAAGGGCAGCTAGGTGGTGCCATAGTGCACAGGGCATGGGACGTGGAGTCAGGAAAACTCATCTTCCTGAGTTCAAATCCAGCCTCAGACACATACTAGCTGTGTGGTCCTGGGCAAGTCACTTCAGCCTGTTTATCTCAGTTTCCTTACCTGTAAAATGAGCTGGAGAAGAAAATGGCACAAATCACTCCAGCATCTTTGTTAAGAAAACTCCAAATGGGGTCATGGAAAAGCAAATATGACTGAACTGGTGGAACAACTCAAAACAACAAGGGCTGAGCTCCAGCTGAAGAACTTCTCACTCACATTTTTTACATTTACAAAAAAAAAAAAAGGGTTTCTCTCTAGCCTGAATTTGCTGATGAGCAATGTGTATGAGCTCCAAGGCTGTTCCACAGCCCTTGAAGTCATAGTTTTTCTCCCATACAAATTCTCTGGTGTTGTCATGAATGGATCCTGATGTCAATTAAGATCTGAAGGTTTGATAAAGCTCTTTCCACAATGTTCAGAATCACAGGGTTTCTTTCCTCTCTGTGGACTTTGATATTGAATCAAGGCTGTGTGGTAATAAAAAGAGACTCCCTTATTATAATTCCATGGTCTTATATGGCTGGAGATGATCAGATTAGAGATTCCTTCAAGTGTTCCTGTTCCCATACAGTAGGAGCTTTCTTGTGGAGGACAGTCAATCAGTTGGCTGAAATCTGTTCACCAATAAAGGTATTTCTTTGGCATCTTATCTAGAAAGTTTGCCACTTGCATCCATAACCAGGTTTCTTGGACAGTACCCTCTCCAAATATGTGGCTCTGGAGAAGGTTCCCTCAGAGTTTTTCCGTAGCTGCTTCTGGTGACTTCCCTTCTCTGATGTTTGAGGGGATGCATGAATTGCAAGTCTATGACCCCAGGCAGACAGAAATTAAAACCAAAAATCATTGGAATCCAAGTTGTCAGAGATGTTAGAGGGTTAGCTGAGCCCTAGCCAGAATCTGGAATCCCCTTATTCCGTAGAGAATTGGCATCTAGAAAAGCTGATGATGTCATTGGCTGCATTGAGGGCCACAGTGTCCAGGAATCACAAAGAGACAAATTTAGTCCTGATATAAAGAAAAATCTAGGAAGCCTTGGGAGTGTCCCAGATTGGCCTGGACTGCCTCAGAAGGTCATGGTCTTCAAGCAGAAGCTAGAGGATGATTGTCAAGGATGTTCTAGAGGACAGCCTGGTGCAGTTCTGGGTTGGACCTCGGGAATCCTTTCTCCACCTGACATGCCATCATTCTGTGAACTGTCTGAGATTTTAGATCATTTGAGTTCGAGGGACCTTAAAGATTACAAAGTTTGGACCCCTCATTTTGCCTGGGGAATCTGCGGCACCAGGGATAACAACAACAGCACTAACTTACATTATGTAACATTGTAAGGTTTGCAAAGCACTTTACCTATTTTATCTCCTTTGATATCCTTAATAACCCTGGGAAGTAGCTGCTATTATTATCCTCATTTTATAGATAAGAAAACTGAAGCACAGAGACATTAGATGGCTTGCCTAGAGTCACACAGCTAGTAAGTATCTGAAGCTGGATTTGAACTCAGGTCCTTCTGATTCCAGGGCCAGTGCTCTATCCTCTGTGACAGCTAGCAAGTTTGGAGGCAGGATCTGAACTCAGGTCTCCCTAGTCCAGCGATCCATCCACCACTGTGCCACCTAGGTGTCTGGCCCACTGCATGGAAGGGGTGTTCCCAAGGTCACAGAATAGATTAGCTGAAGAACAGGGACTAGAATCTGGCTGTCCAGCCTCTCATTTCAGTATGGAAGAGGCTAGAAAACCTTCCCCCTGGATGTCTACAGGACAATGATAATGTCACTGAAAATAAGGCCATACCCTTGACCATCTTTAACAATGATAGTGGCCTCTGGAGCATGGGCTGAAAGAGGGAGAGCAGGAAGGGGACTGATTGGGGAATAGGAATGATGGAAGGGAGGCTGGCACAATATTAATGGAGGACAAGTAGGTAAGAGACCACATCACCAAATGGCAACCTCTCTGCATTGTGAGGGACCCCAGGGCCCATCCAGTTCAGCCCAAACCTGAACAAGAATCCTTTTGGCAGCAGCCCACACCCCAGCGGGTGTGGGGGAGCCCACTGGGGAACAGCCTGTTCCACTTGTGTGGGGTGCTAAGAGGCCTTGAACCTCCCCTTAGTGTGGCATGGGCCTCTTGTCTACCGAGTCAGCTGATGGACCTCTTCTCAAATCACAGTTTTAAGTGCATAAAAGAAAATATTTGAGATCAAAAAGGAAATTGGTTATGACCAGAAAGGTTAAAAAAAAAAGCCAGGTGATAAAAGGTTTTACAAACCAAATCAAGGGTTTTGTATTTGCACTGGGCCTGAAATTAGGAAGACTCCTCTTCCTGAGTTCAAAAAAACTTACTAGGTGTGTGACCTTGGGCAAATCACTTGACTCTGTTTGCCTCAGTTTCCTCTTCTGTAAAATGAACTGGAGAAGAAAATGACCAATCCCTCCAGTTATCTCTGCCAAGAAAACCTCAAATGGGGTCACTGACAGTCAGATATGAGTGAAATGAATGAACAAAGGGCTTTACAAACCAAATCAAAGATTTTCTATTTGCTGCTGGAGGCAATAGGGAGTCACTGAAGTTTATTGAGTAGGGAGGGACACAGTCAGACCTGTGCTCTAGGAAAATCACTTTGTACATCTGGCAATGAGTTCACATTGTTTAACTTTCAGGATGAAACAGTTACTGGTGTTGAACTCCTTTCCTCCCCTTAATTTTCATGTTTCTCAGTTAATAATTCATTTAAGTGGGTCATGTTGGAATTTGTGTATGTTGTAGTTTATTGGACTACCTGAAAGCCATGATCAGAAAAAAAGCCTGGACAACATCTTTCAAGAAATTATCAAGGAACACTGCCCTGATGTCCTAGTACCAGAGGGTAAAATAGAAATGGAAAGAATTCACCAATCACTACCTGGAAGAGATCCCAAAATGAAACCTTCCAGGAACACCATAGCCAAATTCTAGAGCTCACAGATCAAGGACAAAGTGCTGCAAGCAGCCAAAGAGAAACAATTCAAATATCATGGAGCCACAGTCAGGATTACATAGGATTTGGCAGCTTCCACATTGAAGAACCAAAGGGCTGGGAATGGTGTACGAGAAGGCAAAAGACTTAGGATTACAACCAAGAATCACCTACCCAGCAAAACTAAATATAATCTTGGGGAGGTGGAGGATGGATATTTAACAAAATAGAGGACTTTCAAGCATACCTAATTAAAAGACCAAAGCCAAATTAAAAAAAAAAATTGACCTCCAAATACCAGTCTCAAGGGAAACATAAAAAGGTAAAATAGAAACAAGACAGAGAAAAATAAGAGATTCAATAAGGTTAAACTGTTTCTATTTCTATATGACAAGAATATTTGTAACTCTGAAGAGCTTTATTACTGTTAGGGCAATTAGAAGACATATACATAGACCTAGAATGCAAATATAAGGTGACCGATGGGATGATAGCCCAGAGAACAGAATAAAAAGGTGAGAAAGAAGATTGCACTGGAAGAAGGGGGGGGGAAATAGAATGGGGGTAAATTATCCCACATAAAAGAGACATGAAAGAGCTATTATAATGGAAGGGAAGGGGGGGAAGGTGAGGGAGGGGAGGATGGTGGGCATTTATGAAAGCCTTACTCTCATCAGAATCAGCTCAAAGAGGAAATAACATACACACTCAGTAGGATACGGAAATCTATCTTACCCTATAAGGAAGCAAAAAGAGATAGGGATAATAGAAGGGGAGGGGGACTGACAAAAGGAAGGGCAGATTGGGCAAGGTGGTGATCAGAAGTAAAACACTTGGGAGCTTGTGAGGAGGGAAATGGTATGGGTAAGAGAGGGTGGAGGAGAGATAAACAACAGAAAAATAGCATGGAGGGAAATACACAGTTATCATAATTATAAATGTGAATTGGATAAACTCACCCATAAAAATGGAAGCAGATAGCAGAATGGATTAAAAAAAATAGAATCCTAAAATATGTCATTTGCAAGAAACATATTTGAAGCACAGAGACATACACAGAGTAAACATAAGGGGCTGGAACAGAATCTATCATGCTTCAGCTGGACCAAAGAAGATATAGAAAGCATTATAAAATGTCAAATAGATAATTTAGATTATATGAAATTAAAAAGGTTTTGCACAAACAAAACCAATGCAACCAAAATTAAAAAGAAAGCAGAAAACTGGGGGGGGGAATTTTGCAACAAGTATCTATGATAAAGGCCTCATTTTTCAAATATCTAGAGAACTGAATCAAATTTATAAAAATACAAGTCATTCCCCAGTTGATAAATGGTCAAAGGATATGAATAGGGAGTTTTCAGACAAAGAAATCAAAGTTATCTATACTCATAAAAAAAGTGCTCTAAATCACTACTGATCAGAGAACTGCAAATTAAAACATCTCTGAGGTATTTCCTCACACCTATCTGAGTGCCTAAGAAGACAAAGAAAGAAAATGATGAATGTTGGAGGGGGTGTGGGAAAACTGGGACACTAATGCATTATTGGTAGAGTTGTGAACTGATCCAACCATTCTGGAGAGCAATTTGGAACTATGGCCAAAAGGCTATAAAACTCTACATACCCTTTGATCTAGCAATATTTATTGCTAGGTCTGTATCCCAGAGATATCAAAAATAGAGAGGGGGGCAGAACCTATTTGTACAAATATTTCTAGCTGTTCTTTTTGTGGTGGCTAAGAATTGGAAATTGAAGGGACATCCATCAATTGGGGAATGGCTGAACCAGTGGTGGTATATGATTATGATGGAATATTATTGTACTCTAACAAATGACAAGCAGGATGATTTCAGACAAACCTGGAAAGACTCACGTGAACTAATGCTGAGTGAAGTGAGCAAAACCAGAAGAACTTTGTACACAGTAATAGCAACATTGTAACAATGATCAACTGTGAATGACTTAGCTCTTCTCAGTGATACAATGATCTAAAACAATCCCAAAGAACTCATGATGAAACATACTATCTACCTCCAGAGAAACAGCTGATATTGCCTGAAGCAGGCTGCTTTCCACTTTCTTTCATTCTTTCTCTTTTACTCTAGTCTTCTTGTACAAAATGACTGATATGGAAATGTTTTGTGTAATTGCACATGTATAACCTATGTCGGTTTACTTCCCATCTCAAGGAGAGAGGTATAGAATTTGGAACTCAAAACCTTAAAAAACTTAAAAAATTGTTTTAACATGTAATTGGAGGGGAGGATACAATTAGATACAATTAAACGTAAATCTGATTCGGTGTCAACACTATATTTTCAGTAATTATTAGGTTATTGAATAACTAATTAACTATATCTAAAATATAAATAGACATTTAAATTCCATAATTAGATGCCGCCCGGTGTAGGGGATGCAGGTAGGAGACTTGAAGTCAGCAGAGACTCGCTGGCGATCCACGCAGGACACAGGGGTAGGGGGCGGGGGTCAAGTGTAGCTGCCGGCCCAGAACAATGCCCCCTCCTTTCTGACCACTGCCTACTGCGTCAGCGCGGGTATGACCTCTTCCCCGCCTTCCTTCCATTCCCCGCCTTCCCCCCCGCCCCCGACAGTGTGTGAAGAAAAGGGCGGGACATGGAGCACGCAGGCGCAATGACGTCCTAAAGTCCCACCATAGAGGGGGAGGGGCGGGCCCCTGCTGTGTGACGTCATGGGCCGGCGGGCTGGGCTGTGTTTGTGGTCTGCAGCCGAAGACCTTGCCTGTGAGTTTCCTTGTGTGTTGTGTCCGCGTGGGGCTACTGGGCGTGTGTGTCCTTGTCTTCCTCCGTGTGCGTGCATGTATGTGCGTGGTTGTATGTTCCCATGTGGGTGTGCGTGTGTGATTGTATGTCCCTGTGTGGTGGCTTCCCTTGCAGTCGCGTTTACAGAGTGGTGGTGCGTGATTTGTGTCTCTTTTTGTTTCTGTGTGTGTCCGTGTTTTGTCGGGGGTATGTCCACACGTGTACCTGTGTGTGTACTCGCGCCGTGGGCTTTCCTCACGGGCTTTGGTTTGCCCTGAATGCCTACAGCGATTTCTGTTAGGCTTTTGTCCCCCGGCCCCTACCCGTGACCATGCTTGTGTGTGTATATGTGTGTGCGCGCGCCCGCGCCGTGGGCTTCTCTCGAGGGCTCTGGTTTGCCCTGGATGCCTACAGCGATTTCTGTTCGGCTTTTGTCCCCCGTCCCTGCCCCCGACCCGTGACCACGCTTGTATATGTGTGCCCACGCCTTGGTCTCCCCTCGGGGGCTCTGGGCCCTTGTGTCGCAGGGGTCCGCACCCTGCTGCCGGCATTCCTAGAACGCCTGCTGTGTGCCAGGCATCCCCCCCCATCCCACCCACGCACCCACTCCTCAGCTTTTTCTAGACTGGAGGAAGGAGGGAGACCCGACCCGAGGGGCAGCAGGAGGAGGTGGCAGCCCCAGGAAAGGGTTTCCGAATCATCCTCAGAACTGCCAACATTTCCATGGCCCCGTAAAGGACTTGGCCAAGTGCCTGGGTGCATCGAGAGCTGGACCACGGCCCAGGAAATTCGTCCCAGCCTGGAGAGTTCCCCAGAGCCCCAAGTCCCTTCACAGGGCTGGGTCCCAGGCGGCCTCAAAGCCAGATCCTCCATCCCCTGCGCCCCATTCTAGGCTGCCTCCCTCCGATAGCATTTGCTGTCCTTCCCTGGTCTTAGAGGTCAGTGACCCAGCCGGTTCGAGGGCATCGTCATCCTGGATCTTCCTGATTCCAGGCCCAGAGATCCAGCTTCGAGGCCAAGCTGCTGCTCAAGGCTGAGCCTTAGGTTGCTTTGAAAGCAGTAGGGAAAGAACCAATAAAGATATAGGGAAAGGCTGAGGAGCAGAAGGGAGGGGAGATGATGATTAGGGGGCAATCCGCTGGAGAGGGGGCGACCAGAGTAAAGGAGAAGAGAACGGGGGTGAGGTCAAGGAGCTAGGAGATGCTTCAGTGTCGGTCAGATGGGAGGCAGGGTCCTGAGGAGGCAGGGGAAGGCATCCGTGCTTCAGGGCTGTGAGCAGTGGGCTCGAGGCTGCCTCCGGCAGGAGAGAAAGATCGCCGGTCTGTGGCGCGGGAAGGGGCCTCTGGACCCCGTCTGACAGATTTCCAGCACAGTTTTAGGAGTCCCTCCTGCCCCAGCCAGCAGCCCCTGAGTAGGCTCAGAGGAGGCCGCTGATGGGAGGGAGGGAGGCCTGGGGCTTGGCAAGGCATGAGATAGGGAGTGAGGGCTTTCAGAGATGGGAAGAGCGCAGAGCTGGACAGGTGAACCCAGGGCTCGGAACTGGGGATAGGAAAGTGGAGGCCCCGAAGCTGAGTGAAGGCCCTGATGATTTGTTTTTTATCCTTGGCTCCCGAAAAAGCCCATCGATGTCCCAGCGTTGGAGTCGGGTCCGCTGGTTGGACCGTGGCTCAGAAGTCCAAGGCGAGTTGGGAAGGCGCTGCCCCAGGGTCCCTTAGAACATTTAAGCTGGAGGTGGCGGCCCCGGGCAGCCCACATTCGTTTTTGTTTCTTTTATTTTATTTTTAATGTCTTTCTTTTTAGTTTTCAACATTCACTTCCACAGGATTGCGAGTTCCAAATTTTCTCTCCATCTTTCCCCTTCCCCCACCCCAAGACGGGCATGAATTCAGAATACCCTTCCCCCAATCTGCCCTCCCTTCTATCACTCCCCCCCCCATCTCCTTCCTCTTCTCTCTTCCTGTAGGGTAAGATAGAGTTCTATACTCCATTGCCTGTATATCTTATTTCCCAGTTGCATGGAAACACAATTTTTTAACGTTCGTTTTAAAACTTTGGTTTCCAAATTCTCTCCCTTCCTCCTTGCCCGCCCACCCTCATTGAGAATGCAAGCAACTCGATACAGGTCATACATGTGTAGTCATGCAAAAACACTTCCATAATAGTCATATTGTGAAACACTGACTCTATTACTCTCCATCCTATCCCCCTTCCCCACCCATTTATTCTATTCTCTCCTTTGACCCTGTCCCTCCTCAGAAGCGTTTGCTTCTGATTACCCCTCCCTGAATCTCCCCTCCCTTCTATCATCCCCCTGCTCTCCCATTCTCTTCTCCCCTATTTTCCTGTAGGGTAAGATAGATTTCCATACCCAACTTAGTGTGTATGTTATTCCCTCCTTAAGCCAAATGAGTAAAGTCCACTCATTCCTTCTCACCTCTCATCTCTTTCCCTCCACTGTAAAAGCTTTTTCTTGCCTCTTTTATGTGAGATAATTTACCCCTTTTCTACTTCTTCCTTTCTCTTTCTCCAAGTAATTCCTCTCTCTCACCCCTTAATTTTATTTTTTAAATATCATCCCTTCATATTCAACTCACCCTGTGCCCTCTGTCTATATATATTCCCTCCAACTACCCTAATACTGACAAAGGTCTCATGAGTTGCAAATATCATCTTTCCATGTAGGAATGTAAACAGTTCCATTTTAATAAGTCCCTTATGATTTTTCTTTCCTGTTTACCTTTTCATGCTTCTCTTGAGTCTTGTATTTGAAAGTCAATTTTTCTATTTAGCTCTGGCTTCTCGAGAATGCATTAAATTCCTCTTCCTCACTGAATGTCAATTTTTGCCTTTCATTGATTCCACTCAGTTTTGCTGGGTAGGCGACTTGGTTTTAATCCTAGCTCCTTTGACTTCAGGAATATCATATTCCAAGCCCTAGCCCACGTTTCCTTTGTGCTTCTGTGATTCTGCTTTGCTCTTGGAGTATGGAGCCTTCTTTGATGGGAAGAAGTGAGAACAGGTATGGTCTAGTCTAGGGAAAGCAGAATGGTCAGTTAGAATTGGATAAAAGCATTTGGTTTTGGGGTTTGGTTTTTTTTTTTAGTTCTTTATCACGGAAATAGAATAGTTGTGGGGGAGGAGGGAATCAAGGGTATGATTCTCCCAGCCCACCTCTCTGCACCCCCACCCCAGACTGAGGAGTGCAGGGATGGGTCAGGGTCACTGAGTCTCCTGAGGAACTAGGAGTTTAGAGTGTATGAAGGAACACGTACATTGTAAACCATGATCTGATTTCCTTGGAAAAGGGGAGAGAATGATGCCTGCGGGCTGGTGGGCATTTATGACCAGGATCTGAGTGAATGAATGAATGGAACAGCATTTATTAAGCATGGGTTCTAGGAATAGCTAGACAGTCATTCTAGAACGTTCCTGTTCTCCAGGAACTCCCATCAAAATGGGAGAGACAACTCCCATGGGAGGCTTCAGTTGAGGGCAAATGGCAAGGGGACAGATACATCTGGACAGAGTGAATGTGGAAGTTGCTGAGTAATGATAGGAGAGGAAGAGTCTGGAAGTGCCCATAGGGAGCCAGGAGAATCCTGACCAGTGGAGGTGGGGGGCAAGGAGGGGAGAAGGCAGCCTGGGGGGAGCTAGGAGATGGAGGGCAGGAGCTTTGGGGAGCAGGGCATCATTCTGAGATCCTTGGGACATCCCCCCTGCTCCTGCAGGCTAGGACAGCAGGACCTCCTCATCGCTTTCCCCAGGAGCAGAGCTGCCAGGTTGGAACCAGAGATGATCTCCCCAATGGAGAGAGCAGCACCAAGGAGGATGGAGAGGAAGGAGGCAGGAGAGCCCTGTCCAGGTGAGTGCAGGAAGGTGGCCGGGGGTGGTTGGGGGCTGCTGGGGGCAGCCTCCACCTTGGTAGGCACAGGGCTTTTTCTCTGCAGTACTTATGGGTCAGGAGCTCTCCCACAAGCCTCCCCAGCAAGAAGACATTCTAATGGGGGATTGGAGGTATCTTGGGACATAGGGTCTGTGTGTGACAGTGATTGTGTCTCTGTGTGGCTGACTCTGTATGTCTCTGTGTATTCATGCTTGTGTCTGGCTTTCTGTGTTTCTCTGACTTTGTCTTTGCCGCAGCCCCTGGGTTTGAAGGTGAGCTTTGCAGAAGGGTGGCAGTCCCACAGGGTGGGGGGAAACTGAGAAGCCTTCAGGGTATTTGCCTCTGCCACACACCTGAGTCTCAGGGCTCTCACCTCCTTCCCCCTAGACTCAAAGGACATGTTCCTTCTTTCTCGTCAGGCCCGAGCTCTCAGTCCCCTTCCTTTCTAACTCCTCTTAGACCTCTGCCCAGCCATGATCTGCCCCTCCCTGTGCCCTTGGGAGTTCTCTCACCCCTTGTCCCTTCAATCCAATGAAAAAACATTTACACCTAAGAAGTATGAGATATGGTGAGACAAAACCATGACAGTCTATGCCCTCAAGAAAGAGGGTTCTACTAGGGGAAGGGGAGAGGGTCACCCCACCCCCAGCCCCAGATAAGCAAACATAAGGTGGTTTGAAGGAGAGAAGCCCTCTAGGCAGGATCATCTGAGCTGAGCCTAGAAGGAAGGTGAAGGATTCTTAGACATGCAGGTGAGGGGGATTGTGCTCCAGGCCTGGGGCAGAGCCTATGCAAAGGTGTGGGTGCAGGAGATGGCATGTCCTGTGCCTTAATGATTTGGCAGCTGAGGGGAAAATGAAAAGAAAAAGTCAGAAAGAGACTGAAATGGGAGGACCAGTGAGGAGGTGAGAGGTGATGAGGAAGGCTTGGACAGGGGGGAAGGGAGGAAGCTGACATATGCTGTGGGGGGTCTGGCTACAAGACTTGCACCTAATTGGATCTGAGGGCTGAGGGACAGGGAAGGGGCCTGGATGACTCTGAGATTGCACCCCAGGGTCATGGGGGGGGGCCTGACACAGCTAACACAGGATCTCACACTGGGAAGGGCATCAGAGGCCAGTTATTCCAACCTGCCCCTGAACAGGAATCCCTCTATGATATATCCAAGAAACAGTCATTAGGCCTTGGCTTTGGGTCCTCGGGGAGATAGGAGGTGCAGCTCAGAGCACAATTAGAACAATAATAAACACTATGGGATGTTGGGAGGCTCAAGTGGTAGAGTGTAAACAGCCACATGAGCTACTTGGTAACATAAGAGGATAGCTATTATTGTTCCCATTTTCCAGATGAAGAAACTGAGACCCTGGAGAAGTTAAATTACAGGTCCAAAATCATCCCACAAATGAGTATCTGAGGTGGAACTAGAACCCACCTTTCTCTCCTGTTCAAGCTCACTGCTTTTTCTGTCCCACACAGACTGGGGGCTTGGGCTCAAGCAGACACTTGAGAGTAGGACCTGGAGACTGATTCTTGGTAAAACTAGACTATATCTTCAGAGGTGTGGCAGGCAGATGTCTGCTAGAGGCAACACTGAGTCCAAAGAGAAGCTCCAGCTCTTGTCTGGCCAATGTCCACTCCTTTGTTATTGACTGCATAGTTGGGGGCTATCACAGACCCAGGAAGACTGGACATAGTTTGTCCTGAGGCAAGGAGACTGGTAAGGAGATAATGGCTTTGGCCTGGGCCTCGTGGGGGTAGAGAAGGTGACAGATTCACGGGGGGGGCAAATTCAAGGATGCCTCACAGGTTTTGAGCCGAGGTGACTACAAAGGTTGTGCTTCCTTTGGGGGGGAAATAGTGAGGGAAGGAGGAGAGGTGGGGTGGGAGGAAGATGATGCTGAGTCTGAGGAGCCTATAGGCCATCCAGGTGATGTCCAACAGGCCTGTGATGATGGACGGCTAGAGCTCAGATGAGAGGAGGCAGCTGGGGTGTCCCAAAAGTCAGCATGCACTTTGAAGCTTTAATGACTTCAGAAGAGTAAAGGCCACAAATTTCCAAAAAACCTGTCATTTCAAAGTTTAATTATTTAGATTTCTTTTTAGCTCATTTAGTTGTGTGCATTGTAGATTGCATGTGAACGTGGTGGGGCACCTTGCCGTCATGCATCGCATGTGCACGTTTCTGGCGGGCGCTCTCTCAGAGCAGGCTGGAGAGGCTCCTCTTGGTGGGCTGCCTCGGTCATTGGTGCCTCCAGTAGGTTATTTCTTAGCGAGTCCCATCAAAGTGGTCATGTGAATTCTCTGGAAGATCTTAAGGCTAGAATTAGAAATGCAAGCCTTTGAATCACTGAGCTGCTGTGATGTAACATGAAGTCAGGGCGTTTGGAATCTTAAGAAGAAACCTAGCCACATTTTTTAAATGGAAATGATTTACCTTTCAAATGTTCTTTGTCAGTCTGTATCCTTTATACTTAGAAAGGGATTAAAGCTGAAAACTGCTACCAGCCTTCTGGGATGCCCTGTAGAGCTCTGGGAGCTATCTGCTTAGGGGCGATCATGGAAACTGTAGAATCTGAGATCACTAAGAGAGAAGGTGAAAAAGGAGAGCCCAGGTAGAGCCCAGTGGGACACTCAGAGCTAGGAGGCAGGACGTGGTAATTGACCAAGGCAGCCTGAGAAGCAGCAAGCAGAGAAGGAGGAGGAGAACCAAGAGAGAAGGTTGTGGTGCAAAGCAGAGGGAGGGGGCATCCTGGAGGGGAGGGGGGCCAGCCCTCAGTGTTCCAGTTTGCATTTATGACTTGTCCTCACCTGACAGAATGTCGGCACTTGATGAACACTCTGTCTTTTGGGCTCTCTATTTATCTGTCTATTGTCTATGTATCTATATCTACCTATGCATCTGTTCATACAACTATCTATCTGCCTGTCTGTCTGCCTATCTGTCTATGCCTCTATTCATCCCTCTTATATGGCTATCTGTCCTTCTATCCATCCATTTATATAGCTATCTATCTCTATCTATCCATCTATCTGTATATCTGTATGTCCATCCATCTATCCACCTATATATATGGCACTCCCCCCCCACCACCAAATTACTTCAGAGTTGAAGAATGACTTCAGTCAGAGCAATTTAATTTAACAGTTAAGAAATCCTGGTAACCTCGGAGAGTGAATCTTCTGCAGATACTCCCTGTTTCCAGAGCTCTCTGCCCAGGGGTGCCCCAGGGCTCCCTCTCATCTCTGTGTGTGTCTGTGTGTTAGGGAAGAGACATCTAACAGGGATAGGGCCCTCTCCAGCTCTCCATGGGAGGCCAGTGAAAGACCACAGGTGAGAGGCGAAAAGAACCAGCCAGACCTTCCTTCTTGTATATCCTCTCATGTCCCTCAGATGGACTGTCTCTGAACCTTGCCCTTCCTCAAGAGGTGAGCCCAGAGGAGAATGGAGTGATCACAGGGGGCCTGATGGCCCAAGGTGAGGTGAGTGAAGGTTTCCTTCCTGAATCCTGGGTAGGTTATTGGGGCTGACATTCAAGGCTTGATCCATGCCTGAGAGCTTGACTCTGAGGCCTCCATGTCTCCAGCATTGAGGAAAATTCCCAGAGACCCCCAGTCTTACTCTGGAGACCTGAGTCTACTGCAAAGAATGCCTTCCCCAATACCACATGAGAAAGAATAGCATTTCTGGGCTTGGAGCTTGGAGTCTCCTCAACAACCAGTACCTGGGACCTTCATCCCCCTCCATCTGCCCACAGTATCCAGAGCCCCTCCAGGTCCACTTGCTGTCCATCTGACCCTACCACTGTGCCCTCTCTTGCCTTCCTCTTCCCAAAGGCCTGTGCCAGGGGAGGCCACTGGCTCAGCACGGACACGTTCTGTTACAGGAAGCAGTGACGTTCAGGGACGTGGCTGTGGACTTTACAGAGGAGGAATGGGGGTGCCTGAGCCCGGCTCAGAGGGAGCTCTACTGGGAGGTGATGCTGGAGAACTACAGGAACTTGGTGTCCCTGGGTAAGGCCACCTCCCCTGGGCTCAGGCTCTGACCTACAGATACCTCCCCCTGAAAGATAGCCCTGACTTCTGGAGTCTAGAATGTGGAGTCTGTGATAGGCTCAGCTGAAGTGGTTCAGAAATGAGACTCCTCTTCTTTGGGGGGCCAGAAACAGGGTGTGTTCATGCTTTCCTGCCCTTCCCCTGGCTAGAGATTGCCCCGAGACCAATAAATAGAGAACTCCATAGGATGGGGTGCTATCGCCAGAATGGACAAGGGGAAAAGGACCCTGGATTATTGGGGGTGACAAGCAGGAGAACTTCTGAGTGTTAGGGATGACCCACAGCAAGCCCTTTGCTTTACAGAAGAGGAGACTGAGGCAGAAAGGTCAGTGACATTTTCTAAGTTCACACAGAATGGCAGAAATGTGGCTAGACATGGGGCCTCTTGTGTCCTGGGCAGGGGCTCTCCCACCCGAACCCCAGCACTTCTCTGCTTACACCTCTTTTGGGGTCAAAGGCCAACCAATCTGGCTCTCTTCAGTCCCAGTCTGGCATTTTTTCTAGTTGAGCCAGCTCATTTTACTTATGGGGAAACTGAGGACAGGGAGGTGATAAATTGCCTGGCAACAAAGATCCTTCAGCTGCAGGATGAGTTTTAAGGAATGTTCCAGAAATTCTTTGGGCTGCAGAGGAAGGGTGGCACCAGATGGCTTCCCAGGTTGCTTTCAGCTCCTGAGACTCTATGCCCCCTCTGACTTGCCCAAGCTCACTCCAGGAGAGACCTTCAGGGGTGGAGCCAAGATGGCAGAGTAAAAGCAGTGACTTGCTTGAGCTCTCCCTCAAACCACTCCAAATATCTATTAAAAATGGGTCTAAACAAATTCTAAAGCAGTAGAACCCACAAAAAGACAGAGTGAAACAAATTTCCAGCCCAAGACGGCCAAGGTCACTCCAGGCTGGCTCCAGGCTCCACAGCTGCCCCCTCCTTTGAAGTCTATCCCCACCTTCCTGCTTCCTTCTGCACATCCAGAGATGCCTCATTTCTGCAGACTCTCCCATTTCCACAGACTCTCCCATTTCCTAGGGTCTTGGATCACCAGCTGGAGCCCTTAGAGCCCATTGGAGCCAAGCCCCTGCCCTGACAGTGAAGATTCTGAGGTTCCTGCCCAGGGTCTTACAGCTAAGCTAGGAAGTTTCTGAGGCAGGATTCAAACCCAGGGCTTTGGGACTCCAGCTCTGGGGCTCTACTCACCACACTACACTGATTGTCTTTCCATTCACTATTTAGGTCGGGAATGCTTAGGACAGCAGGTTGATTTTAGGAGGACTGTAACTTGAGTGTGAAAAATTATACCTTTATTTTCACTAACCTCTAATGGAAATTTAGCGTTTCCTTCAGTTACTTAAAAACAGTATTCTGAAAAGGAGTCCTTAGGCTTCAGCAGCCTGCCTGGTGCCCGAGTGATCCAAGGGGCAAAACCCTTCCTCTTTGAACTTCAAGTTGGCCATCTTGAAAATGAAGGGCTCAGACCATGGGATCTGGTCTAAGATGGAAAAGAACTCATGGAATGACTTGAGCCCTGAAGGAGCCATCTAATCCACCCTCCCATTCCCATGCCACGTGTCCAACAAGTTGGTGGGGACCATCCCTGAGGGAGGCCACCCTACCACTGCCTCCATTTTTCAGAAGCTTTCAGTTAGCTTGACATATAATTGGTAACAGTAAATGTTCTCTCCATGGGTTGTGTTTCCCTCTTCATATTTTTTTTATTTTAGTCATTTGTTCTTCCTTGATTGTGAAAGAAAAAAATATATCACATAGTTATTGTTTTTTCTGGCATTGAGTCTTAAAAAAAAAAAAGACAGGCACCTAGGTGGCACAGTGGATAGAGCACTGGGCTTGGAATTGGGAAATTTGGAACTCATCTTCCTGAGTTCAAATCCAGCCTCAGACACTTCTTACTAGCTGGGTGACCCTGGGCAAGTCACTTAACCCTGTTTGCCTCAGTTCCCTCATCTGTAAAATGAGCTGGAGAAGGAAATAGCAATCTGTCCAGTATCTCTGCCAAGAAAACCCCAAATGGGTCATGGAGAGTCACAGGTGACTGAAACAACTGAACTGATGTTTACCATCTCAAATGTCTTTTTAATTTTGATTACCATTATGTCTTCTTTGCTTTCCAGGGCTTCTGCATTTCTGTTTGTCTTGAAGTTAGTAACTTACTGATTTTCTAGTTTGTTTTTTTTTTAGTTGCATGGTCAGTTCACTGGTCTGATTTTTTTTTAATATAAATTTTCCCTGAAGGCTTGCTTTAGCTTATCCCACCAACTTTTTAATACCTCAACATTATTAGAAGAATTTTCTACAACTTCTGTGACTCACTCATATTTTAGAATTGTGTTAGTTGGTCTCCATTTAAGTCTTGGTCCTTTGTTCACATTTCCATGATGGATTCTAGTTTTTATGGTATTAGAGCCAACATAACATAACTTAACTCAACACAACACAACACAACACAACACAAGGTTAGCATGCTGAGAGCCAGGTAGACCTGGGCTGAAATCCCCAGTTCTGATGCATAGTGGCTGTGGCTGTCACTCAGGGCAAAACACTCAGCCTACCAGAGCTCTAGGGAACCCTCCAAACCCAGAAGGTTATGCATTGGTGGAGAGAATTTCATCACACAGTAGTTCCTTATACTGGTGAAATCTTGGGTCCAGTCACTATTCCTATTGCCTCCAAAGTATGAGGTTCACATTTCTGCCTTTCTGCATGCATTGATGAATTGGGTTCTACATGCAGTTCCATGAGGTCACTTTTTGGAGAGATGATAGGCAATGCCGGAAAGGATCTATATTTCACAAGATACTCATTCATTAATCACTCGAGATCCATCATATTAAATTTTTCCATCTTTCTGTTCAGAACCTTAATTTTTATTATTTAGTTTTCTATTAGCCTTGTCCAGGGCTCAAAGAGAGATGTTGAATTCCCCACCAATGGTTGTCTACCACCCAGGTCCTCCTGTAATTCATGTAGCTTTTCCCCTAAGTACAGATATCATTTGGCACACGTGTAATATAGACATTGTTTCATTATCTTTGATGACTTTAAACATGTAGTTTCCCTTCTTCATCTTTTCTACATATCTATTTTTGTTATTGCTGTGTCTGAGGTCAAGAATGCCAATCTTGCTTTTGGGGGGATTCTGTTGAGGCATAATAAATAATGTGCCCATATTAACAGAACCAGAGAGAGAGAACCCCACCAACCCAATCTAAGGAAGACATCAACTGAGCAAACCCAGGTCCTAGTGGATTGATAAGTGACTTCTAGTAGACACTGAAAGAATAATGAACCCCAGGAGATAGAAATGATTTACGAAAATAGAGAAAAGGGGCATCTTCCCTTCTTTTCGTATCTTATCCAACTCTTAGCCTTTTATACAGAGAAACAAAACCGTAGACCAATATCACCAGTGGATATTGATGCAAAAATATTGAATAAATCATTAGCAAAACAGTATAGTCAAAGCATTATTCACTGTGACCCAGTTGGGTTTATGCCAAGAATGGAGGAGTGGTTCAACATTAGGAAAATGATCAACATAAAAAAATTATATTAAGGGTGAGGAAGAGCCATTTATTAAGCGCCAACTATGTGCCAGGCACTGTTCTAAGTGCTTTTACAAATGTTATGTCAATTAATCCTCACAAAAACCCTGGGGGGTAGGTGCTTTTATTGTCCCCATTTTTGAATTGAGAAAATGGAGGCAAACAAGTTAAGTGACTTGCTCAAGGTCACACAACTAGTGTCAGAGGCCTGATTTGAACTCAGGTCTTCCAGACACTGAGCCCAATACTTTGTCCTCTGTACCACCAGTAATAGAATAATTAAAACTCCATGCTTATCATAGATTCAGGGAGAAAAGCCTTTGACAAAATGTGCCATTTATTTATGATCAAGATGCCAGAGAACATGGGAACAAAAGGATTCCTCTACAACATAAAGCTTCTATTTGAACTCTGACACCTGGAAAGGTTAAAGGTCATGCTGAGTCAGCATGTTCTCAGGCAAGATAAGGGCTTGTGTGGAGGGCAAGATAAAGACCTTTCTCAGAGGTAGCACTGATGAAAAAGAAAACTGGGCTTTAAAAATGCTATTAGCTTTTGATAACTCTTCATAATTTAAATCAATTAGCAAAGAAGAAATCAATTATAAAATTAGGAAGAGAAAGGAAGAGAAAAGAAAGGTCTCATATTATTTGTTTTTTAAAATTTTTATTTGTGAAGTTGACAAATATCAAGTGTGAACATTTCTGTATACTAAGAACAGAAGATAGATAGATATAGGTATCTAAAACTGTGCACGGTAGTGCCAACACTGCCCTGTTTGTCTGTGTCTCCTTCCAAACTTCCTTCCACTTTCCTCTGCGCATTTTTTAAAAATGTTAGTGATGGGGGCAGCTAGGTGGCGCAGTGGATAGAGCACCAGCCCTGAAGTCAGGAGGACCTGAGTTCAAATGTGGCCTCAGACCGAACACTTGACACTCACTAGCTCTGTGACCCTGGGCAAGTCACTTAACCCCAACTGCCTAAAAAAAAAAAGTCAATGACATTAATTTCTTTATTTTTTCTTTTTTTGTGTAACTATCCTGTTCCCTCAAAAAACACACACATGCCCTACTCCCAGCTCTCCCTTGTCTCAAATAAGTATAATCAAGCAAGACAACTCGTGCATTAGTTGTGCCTGAAAACCTTAGGTCCCGTTCCACGTCTGCAGCCTGTCACCTCTCAGTCTTCTGGAGGCAAAACTGGCCCTGCCTTCCTTATTTGATGCTAGAAGCTCTGTTAATGATATCATAGGAGTAAAGCAAAGACATCTACTTTATGATGGAGTTCTAGAAAGGCTAGCTATAGGAATATGACAAGAAAAGGAAATTAAGCACTTAAGCCTAGACAAAAAGGAGGAAAAATCATCTCCATTAGCCAATGACAGGATTGTTTACGTAGAAAACCCCAGAGATTCAACAAAAAAGCATCGTTTCAATAAAATAGGAAACAAAATAAACCAACAAAAATGTTTGTACCTATCCCTATTAATGCAAGAGGAGAAGTTTAAATCAAAACAACTTCAAAATGCATTAAATGTCTACATGCTAGTTTACCAAAATGCACCATAACGCTAATCTCCTTACAGAGAACCTCCCACGTCACAGAAGAAGTGTTCCACTTTTAGACAGCTCTAATTAGTAGGAAGTTTTTCCTTACATCAGCTTTATTTTTTTTGTTTGTTTGCTTTTTCCGTTTTTAAAATTAATTTATTTTGATTTATCAACAATCACTTCCATATTCTTTTGAGTTGAAAATTTTTCTCCCCGTTCCTCCCCCCCCAGACGGTGCACGATCTGATATAGGTTTTACATTTAAATACCCATTAAACATATTTTCACATTAATGAAGTTGTAAATAAAAGTTAAAACCAATAGGAGGAACCTACATCAGCTTTAAATTGATCTCTTCACAATTTCCACCCATCAGTCCTACTTCTGGGCCAGGCAGAGGAAATCAGACCTCTAATACCTAGCAGTATGAGATCAGGGATAGAGCACTAGACTTGGAGTCAGGAAGACCTGGGTTCAAATATAGTCTCAAACACTTATCAGTGGGGTAACCCTTGGCGACTCACTTCATCTCCTTGGGCCTCAGTTTCCTCATCTGAAAAATGAGGGGGTTGGACTCAATGACCTCTAAGGTCCCTTCCAGCTCTGAATTTCTGATTCTATGATCTTCTTGTCACCAATATGAATGGCCCCAGTTACTTCAGCTAATATTTATATGATCTAAATCAGAGGCCCTCTACTGCCTTAGAGGTTCTCCAGCTTCTCAATGTGTCCCTTCTAACATGTGGTAGGGAGAACTGAGGACTGTGATCCAGATGTGATCTGACCAGGGTAGAGGACAACAACAGTATAACCCAAACTCTCAGTGTGCCCAAGAGTGCCCTAGCACCTTTGGTGGCCAGCTCACTCTGGGCTAGTGAGATTCAGGATTTTGGCAGGAACTGGACTAGCCTTCTGAAGTCCCTTACAACTTGGAAGCAAATACTCTTCATTGTCTGTTCCTTTCAGTCTGGGACACAAGATTGGAGAACCAGAAATTAGTGGAAACACAAGAAGTATCATCAGGCACATTCATGGGAAGAGGAAATATTCTTCAGAATGACCTAGTGGAGGAGAGTCCTGTTGAGGAATTCAGGCTGTGGGAGCAAATGAGAAATCTTGCAGTGGAAGCTCCAGAGGAAGTCCTTGCCCAAGAAGGGGACTTCAGTGAACTGACTCTCCTTCCCAAGGAAACCTCCAGTGGTCAGAGAGGTGATGAATACAATGACTTTGAGAGTAAATCCAGGCACACAAGCTCATGCCATCATAACAGATGTCGGAATCTCTCCTATTACCAGCCAACCTTTATTCCACACGAGAGGCTACAGAGGACTGAGAGGGCCTCTGAATGTGAGGACTATGAAAAGGCTGTTAGCCAGAACTCACATCCTGTCCAACCTCAGAGTGTTCGTACTATAAAGAAACCTTTTGAATGTAAGGAATGTGGAAAGTGTTTTAGCTGGAGTTCAGGACTTATTGAACATCAGAGAATTCACACTGGAGAGAAACCATACAAATGTAAAGAATGTGGGAAGGCCTTCAGCCAAAACTCAACTCTTACTCGCCATGACAGAATTCACACTAGAGAGAAACCATATACATGTAAGGAATGTGGGAAGGCCTTTACCTACTCTTCATCCCTTATTAAACATAAAAGAATTCATAGTGGAGAAAAACCCTATGGATGTAATGAATGTGGGTCAGCCTTCAGGCATAGGTCATATCTCACTAAACACCAGAAAATACACAATGAAGAGAAACATTACATATGTATGGAATGTGGGAAGGCTTTCACACGGAGCTCACACCTTCTTCAACATCATAAAATTCACACTGGAGAGAAACCCTATAAATGTAAGGAATGTGGGAAGGCCTTCATCCAGATCTCAGCCCTTATTATGCATGAAAGAACTCACAGTGGAGAAAAACCTTATAAATGTGAGGAATGTGGAAAATTCTTCAGTCAGCGCTCCAATCTTGCACAACATCATAAAATTCACACTGGAGAGAAACCTTATAAATGTAAAGAATGTGGGAAAGCCTTCAGCCAGAGCTCAGCCCTTACCACACATGAAAGAATTCACAGTGGAGAGAAACCTTATGAATGTGAGAAATGTGGAAAATCCTTCAGTCAACGCTCAAACCTCACTCAGCATCAGAGAATCCACACAGGAGAGAAACATTATGAATGCCATTGACGTTCACTCAGAGGAAGGACCTTTACCGTCTGAGGATTCATGCTGGAGAAATGCTCTGTAGAAATGTAATGACTGGAGGCAGCTAGGTGGCACAGTGGATAGAGCACCAGCCCTGAAAGCAGCAGGATCTGAGTTCAAATCTGGCCTCAGATCAAACACTTGACTTACTGACTGTGTGACCCTGGGCAAGTCACTTAACCCCAATTGACTAAAAATAAAAATAAATAAAAGAAATGTAATAATTACCATGGCATAACTTTCACTGTGGAGAAGCCTTATTGAAAATTGTAAATACCACCCTGGACAGAAACCCTAAGAATCCCAAGAAACGTAGAAAAGCCTTCAAACAGTGGTGTCCCTGCTCCACCATAAGTGAACTTGTTCTGGATGGATTCCTACAAAGGGAAAGATTGTAGTTTTCTGATTTCATGATGTGTTGTGACAGAACCGTCTCAAAATGCAGTCAGACCACCTCTAATCCATGTATAAGCATTCATTGAGATGGACGCCTCTCATGAAGCAGGCTAAGTTCCAAGGAACCAGCAACTTTAGTGAAAGAAAGATAGTTTTTTATAGGGTAAAGATGCCATTACATAACAGAAATGATGAATATTATAAGGGCTGGAGGGGTTTGTTAAGGGATTGGGTGATAGGGGAGGGATCCCAGCCTCAGTGGAACTATGCATGTGATTTCCCACAATGTGTATAGAAAAGCCCATGTAGGCTATGTCGTATGTATGATAATGATATTATAAAAAGCCTCTGAATATATTATAATAAGCCTCTCTAAATTCACCTAAAGGACAACTTTTTCTATTACCATGCAGGTGCCTACTTAGGGAAAATCCCTTCTATTTTTGGGGGGTCCATATCATGTTCAGGCATCCTGGTGGTGATGCTTTCTGATTGGCTGGCTATTGTGGTCCTGTCTGAGACTAGATGGATGTGGTTGAGTGCATGGATGCATCTGCTGTTTCCCTGTTGTTCTAGTGAGCAGTGAGGCACATATGAAGAAGTTAGGACAATAAGTGGGGCTGGGGGAAGGCAGTGGCTACGTAGGGGAAGTGGGCCTGCTGTTCATTGGGGCCTATAAGGAAGTGTGAACATTGGGCCTGGGGCCAGCTTTATTACGATTCCATCCATAGGAAAGGGATAAGTGGTCATGTCTAAGCTCAGCTTTCCTCCATCACCACAGAAAAAGAAATGTGCCACATAAAATGACATAAAATGCTTACATGATATAAATAAGAGGAAGAGACAGAAATCCCCATAAGAAAAATCCTGCAGAAAGGCCAGCTAAAAGACAGAAGTACTGAATAAACTGAAAACTCCTAATATTCTAATTAGATACTATGGGCAAAAAAGTTCCAAGAAATCTTGGAGGACAAGGAAGTATATTGTGATATCAATTACAAATCCCCAGAAATAAGAATACAACTATTGCAAGAAGCCTGATGTCCTTCATAGTTGAGAAACTTTTAAAAGATTAAAAGCAGGCAGTATGGTGTAGTCTTTAGAGATCTGGCCTCAGAATTAGGAAAATTTGTATTTAAGTCCTGTCTCTGATACATGCTAACTATGGCTGTGGGCAAGTCACTTAATCAGTCAGTCAATAAACATCAAATGCGTACTATGTTCCAGGCACTGTGCTAAGTGCTGAGGATACAAAAAGAGCCAAAAGGTAGTCTCTACCCTCAAGAAGCTTACAATCTAATGGGGCAAAGATATACAAAGTAAGCTATATAAAGGATAAATGGGGAAATAACAGAGGGAATCTCAGTGACCCAGGTAGCTTTATAAAACTAGATGCCAACTTCAATTGATGGAGGGAGTTTACTCAGTGAGAATTCCCTATATCAATGGAATCACAAGTACAGTTTTTAAAAAAAAGATTAAAAGGAGATATGAAGGAAATTCAAGTCTTAAATATAAATTCAGAAATGCAAACAAGAGGAATCAGTTTAGAGGAGCAGTTGTATAAAAGATTAACAAATAGCGGACACCCTGATAGACAGTGGTAGAAGTAGACCCCCAAAATATCAAGATGCAACAAGAGACAGAAGAGCAACATTGAAAGACAGAAATATTGGAACAATTGAGATCTCACCCAACTCAGAAGCATAGAACTTATAGAAAGAGCTTGGCCAAGACCCAGAAGCAACCCAGTTTAGTAGTCCTATGCTCAATAAATCCCCAAACACACTCCCAAGGGAAGGAGTTCTTATTTTGTAAGAGCCTCTGGGAAAACTGGAAAAATGGTTTCACTATTTACACTGGTTCTTTTTAAAATTAATTTTTGTTTTTTCTTCTGAACTTAAATACCAAAAAAAATTTCAACATATACAACAGACACTGTGAATCTCCATTTTATACCCCCTTTTTTTAGTATATAATAAATTCCATGTTACTTCCAAAACTGTCCTACTTGTCTTTGCTTCTTTCTGAAATTTCTCCGTTCTCTTCTGTGTATTTTAAAATACTTAAATGAAAACGATGTTCTGTGAACACAGATTATAAGCAACTTTTGTTTTTTGTTTTGTTTTGTTTAGTTTTTTCACTTTGTTTTTCTTGAGGTTTTTTTTTGGTCCATGTTTTTTCCCCCCACAACATGACTATTATGGATATATTTTGCATGACTACATATATATAACTTATTTGGAATTTCTTACCTTCTCAATGAGGGGAGGGAGATAGGGAGAGAATTTGGAACTCAAAGTCTTAAAAAGGAATGTTATAAAAAAATAGAATAAGTATTTTAATGAACTTCTTTTGGTTTCACTATTGCTAACATTCTCTTTCTCCCCTCCATCCTCCCTGCATTCAAAAAATGAGAAAAAGAGAGGAAATAAAAATCTATTGTAGGGTATGGTGAAAGTATTAGTGTATTAAAAAGGAGGAAATGAATAGTAAAGAACTAAAATGTAAGGGGGTCCCTTAGATTGCCTCTTAGTTGGGGAATGGCTAAACAAATTGTGCTAAATGAATGTAATAAAATATTATTGGGTAGTTAGAAATCATGAAGAGCCAGTATCAGAGAATCCTGAGGGGGGGGAATACACTGGACAGGGGAAGGAAGATTAGGGGAAAATATCTCACATAATCAAAGTGCCAAATAGACATCTATACAAACATGGAGAGGGGAGCAGCTAACATCTGAACTTTCATCTGAACTTGTTAAAGGAACAAAGAATATACACACAGTTGGGTACAGAAATCTATCTTACCCTATAAGGAGGTAAAAATGGACAGGGATAATAGAAGGGGAGGGGGACTGATAAAAGGAAGGGCAGATTGGGGAAGGTGGTGATGAGAAGTAAAACACTTGGGAGCTTGTGAGGAGGGAAATGGTATGGGTAAAAGGGAGAGAGAGGGAGAGATAAACAACAGAAAAATAGCATGGAGGGAAATACACAGTTAAATGTGAATGGGATAAATACGCCCATAAAAATTGAAGCAGATAGCAGAATGAATTTAAAAAAACCAGAATCCTACAATATGTCATTTACAAGAAACAGATTTGAAGCACAGAGACATATACAGAGTAAAGGTAAGGGGCTGGAACAGAATCTATTATGCTTCAGCTGGACCAAAGAAGATATAGAAAGCATTATAAAAGGTTAAATAGATAATTTGGATTATATAAAATTTAAAAGGTTTTTACAAACAAAACCAATGCAACCAAAATTAAAAGGAAAACAGAAAACTGGGGGAAATTTTTGCAACAAATATCTATGATAAAGGCCTCATTTTTCAAATATATAGAATCAAATTTATAAAAATACAAGTCATTCTCCAATTGTTAAATGGTCAAAGGATATGAACAGGCAGTTTTCAAAGAAATCAAAGCTATCTCAAGTCATAAGAAAAAGAAGGGCTCTAAATCACTATTGATTAGAGAAATGCAAATTTAAACAACTTTGAGGTACTGCCTCACACTTATCAGACTGGCTAAGAGTACAAAAAAAAAAAAAGAAAATGATGGATGTTGGAGGGGATGTGGAAAAACTAGGACACTAATGCATTGTTGGTGGAATTGTGAACTGATCCAACCATTGTGGAGAGCAATTTGGAACTACAGCCAAAAGGCTATAAAACTGCATATACCTTCTGATCCAGCAATATTACTACTAGGTCTGTATCCCAAAGACATAAAAAAATGGCAGGGGCGGGGTAGAGAAGGACCTATTTGTACAAAAATATTTACAGCAGTTCTTTCTGTGGTGGCTGAGAATTGGAAATTGAAGGGATGCCCTTCAATGCCAATTGGGGAATGGCTGAACAGCTGGTGGTATAGGATTATTATGGAATATTATTGTACTCTAAGAAATGACAAGCAGGATGATTTCAGACAAACCTGGAAAGACTCACATGAACTGATGCTGAATGAAGTGAGCAGAACCAGAAGAACTTTGTACACAGTAATAGCAACATTGTAACAATGATCAACAATGAATGACTTAGCTCTTCTCAGTGATACAATGATCTAAAACAATCCCAAAGGACTCATGATGAAACATACTATCTGCCTCCAGAGAAAGAACTGATATTGACTGAAGCAGGCTGGTTTCTACTTTCATTCTTTCTCTTTTACTCTAGTCTTCTTGTACAAAATGACTGATATGGAAATGTTTTGTGTAACCTCCCATCTCAGTGAGGGAGGGATAGAATTTGGAACTCAAAACCTTAAAAAACTTTAAAAATTGTTTTAACATGTTATGGAGGGGAAAATAAATTTAATTAGATACAATAAAATATAAATTTGATTCGATGTTAATAATGTATTTTCAATAATTATTAAATATATAGAAATTAATATAAATAGACATGTAATTAGATGCCGCCTGGTGCAGTGGATCCAGGTAGGGAGCTTGAAGGCTTGAAGAAACGATAGCAGTTCCACAGCGTGGGATCCACGCAAGACATAGGGGGTTGGGGGGCGGGGGCGGAGTGTACCTCCTCGTCCTAGATCAAGGGTCCCTTCCTTTCGAACCATTG